GCGCCTTGGTATGTAAAAGTTTCTGCCTGCCCACTCACACGGACACTTCTCTTTCTCCGCAGTGTTTTCTGCTCCACTTCCTATTGTATTATATCTTGTGAAAACTGATGTTACTCCCGTCACTGTTTTACCAGTTGATTAACAGCAGCGGGACAGAGGAACCAACAACCGAGAAATCCAATTAGCACGACCGATGTTCATTACTTGATCCGGGGGATCTTCTACAGGCACTCCACGCTGCTCGTTGGAAATCAAAGCGAGGGCCTTTGGTTGATTTGTGTAATTGTGTAACCGTTGGCGGTGTCAGAAGAGAAGTTTTCAGCTGCTTAGAGATAGAGCATGTGATTTAGGGATTAAATCTCAACAGTTTATACGCTTGGAAGAAGATGAGAAGTGGGAAAGAGATATTTGCTAGTTTCATTGGTTCTTATGTAAACCTCTGCTTTGTTTGAACCCCTCAAGTTGGAATATCTTAAACAACAAACTCTACTGTGTAACCGAGTGAAAAACGGGGGATATATCGTAGCAACCAGAGATATTATCACGGTTGTACATAAGAATCTCTCCTCGAATTGGCCAACGTAAACTCTTTCTAGATCCAATAAAGTTGGTAATCAACTTATATGATTCAATAGGAGGTAACATAATTTTACGCACAAATTTTCGATTCTTAGTGTTAAAGAAGATATCTTGGATTAGTATAGTGAATCTTGTAAATCTGTACTTAGCCTTTACTTACCTGATAAGGTTTGACTTCCTTGTTTCTAGGCATTAGTTTAGGATTAGGGTTGTGTCTTTCGTATATATATTGTAACCCTAGCCTTCGGCATTATTATGAAAAGCATTCTGCAATATCACGTTTTCTTATATGGTATCAAGAGCCAACGATCTAGCAAAACCTCGACAGATATTAAACCCTAGCAACCATAGCCATGGGTGAAAAACCAGAACAGTCAACCTCCTCAGGCATGACTTTGCATCAGAAGTGGGAACACCCTAATCATCCACTTTATCTTCATCACTCGGATCAGCCTGGCGCCATTCTTGTACCGCAGCCACTCGTGGAAGACAACTATGGCACATGGGCGCAATCCATGACCATGGCCTTGATGGTTAAAAACAAGTTAGGGCTGGTTGATGGAACAATCGCGAAGCCAACTGATGCACAGGTTGAAGAGTTACAGCAATGGAACCGGTGCAATAATCTGGTGAAAACATGGTTGCTCGATTCCATGTCAAAAGAAATCTCAGGAAGTGTCATACACTGCAAGGATGCGCGGCAGATGTGGCTTGACCTGCAAGAAAGGTTTTCTCATGTGAACATAGTTCAACTGTTTCACATAGAAAACGAAATCCATAATTGTGTGCAAAGCAACATGACGGTGAGTTCTTACTTCACAAAACTCAAGAGTCTTTGGGATGAACGTGACACCTTATGTTCAATCCCGACATGCCATTGTGAAGCAAGGAACGAGATAACATCATATGTTGAGACTCAGAAAACAATGAAATTCCTTATGGGCTTACGTGACTCATATGCTACAGTTCGTAGCAACACCCTCTTGCTGGATCCATTGCCAACTGTTAACAAAGCATATGCACTTGTTCTTCGTCATGAGAAACAAGTTGAAGTATCAAACGGAAAGGGCAGCACCGTGCAGCCTGAAGCTGCTGTGTTTGCAGTGAGGGGCGCTGGTCGAGAACCCGAGACAGAAGATGGTAGTCAGCGATGCGCCAAATGCAACAAGACCAATCATAGCACCAAGAATTGTCGTGCTCATCTCAAGTGCACGTTTTGCGGTTGGAAAGGACACACTTTTGACTCTTGCCGCAAAAGAAAAGCAGCGGCTGAGACTGAACAAAATCGCCCTTTCAAGGGCAACCAAGTCACGGGTCGTGACAAGAAGGATGCAATGCCCAATTTTCCTTTTTCTCCAGAGGACTGCAAGCAGATTCTTCAGCTTTTGAACAAAAGCAAATCCTCATTTGCTAATCAAGTGGGTAACTCTTCGAATCATGAAGAACTCTCAGGTAAAGCTTTTTCTTTCATGCGTAATGGAAGGCAAGTTATTTGGATTTTGGACAGTGGGGCCACCGACCACATCGTATGCAGTCCTGAGTTTCTCACGTCCTCAAAACGTGTTGAAAATCATAATGTTGAATTACCAAATGGTTCCCTTGCTAATGTAACCCATGTCGGCCAAGTGGTTTTCTCTCCCAACTTTATCCTTGACAATGTTTTATGCGTACCATTGTTTAGGCTAAACCTCATATCTATTAGCAAGTTAGCTTACGATTCCCTTTACATCACCATTTTTCTCAAACAATCTTGTGTCATACAGGACCTACGTTCGGGGAAGATGATTGGGACGGGAATTGAACGGGAGGGACTCTACCATCTCGACCCACCAAGGAAGGGATCCTGCAACACCACCACCACTATGAGTTCTCCTTTTTGGCACCAACGCCTTGGGCATCCATCACCTAAAGTGTCCTCGTTACTTCCCTTTATGCACAATAAGTCATGTGATTCCAATACATGTTTAATTTGCCCATTGGCTAAACAAACCAGATTGTCTTTTCCCTTGAGTTCTATATCTACTCGTTCATGTTTTGAATTAATACATATTGACATTTGGGGGGGTTATCAAGTTCCTTCCCTCTCAGGTGCCAAATATTTTCTTACCATTGTTGATGATTACACACGGTGCACCTGGGTTTATTTGATGAAACAAAAATCTGACACACAAGATATTCTTGTTCAATTTATACACATGGTTGAGAATCAATTCAATACAACAGTTAAGGTGATTCGAAGTGATAACGGTCCCGAGTTCAAACTTGTCACCTTTTATCAACTCAAAGGGATCCTGCATCAAACCAGTTGTGTCAACACACCACAACAAAATGGTGTTGCTGAACGCAAACACCGTCACCTGTTAAATGTTGCTCGAGCCCTCATTTTTCAAGCCAACCTTCCTAAACATTTTTGGGGGGATGCTATTCTCACTTCGGCCTATCTTATCAATCGTACACCCACACCACTTCTCCAAGGGCAAACACCATACCACAAGTTGTTTCACAAGGCACCTCATTACATGCATTTACGTGTCTTTGGATGCTTATGTTTTGCATCCACCCATGCACAAAAACCCTCTAAATTTGATCCCCGTGCACGACGGTGCATTTTTGTTGGGTATCCTTATGGCCAGAAGGGTTACCGCTTGTTTGACCTTACACTTAACAAGTTTTTTGTGTCACGGGATGTCCTCTTTTTCGAAGACCATTTTCCCTACAACTTACCCCACCCTTCCGCTGCTTCCCCTCCCACTCCTCCTTCCCTTCCCGTAGCACCCTACTCGCCATCCTTTGATCCAGTCCCTATATTTCCCATAGAACCTCCCATCGCTTCCCCCCCTGACATCGCTCTCCCTGTTGAGCCTACTTCCCCTTCCTTACTTTCTCCACCCCCATCCCCTCCGTCTTCCTCTCCTGCTGCACCACCGCCACCCCGGCGTGGCACACGTCCTACCAAACCATCTTCTTTCTTGCAGGATTTCCATGTTGAGACCTCTCTCCCGTCCCGACTTGCTCCTTCCTCGAATATGGTTCAGGTATCAGGTACTGCTCACCCTCTGTCTCATTACTTATCTTACAATCGCCTCTCCCCTATGCATAAGCATTTTGTTACTAACGTCACCACCATTCGAGAACCCACCACCTTCCTGCAGGCTGTCCAACATCCACAATGGCGTGATGCCATGCACCACGAACTTGCTGCTCTTCAGGAAAACCATACTTGGTCCCTTGTTCCACTTCCTCCTCACAAAAAGCCGATTGGCTGCAAATGGGTGTACAAGGTTAAGCTTAAACCTGATGGGACCATCGAGCGTTACAAAGCTCGGTTGGTTGCCAAGGGCTATAGTCAAATCGAAGGGGTCGACTATCGTGAAACCTTTGCTCCAGTTGCCAAGTTAACCACTGTCCGTGTACTCCTTAGTGTTGCTGCTGTGCGTCATTGGCATTTACATCAACTCGATGTCAACAACGCCTTCTTGCATGGCGATCTGGATGAGGAAGTGTACATGAATTTACCTCCTGGCTTTGGACGAAAGGGGGAGACTCGTGTTTGCAAGCTACACAAATCCTTATATGGTTTAAAACAAGCCTCAAGACAATGGTTCATTAAACTTTCCACTGCTCTCAAGGCTGCTGGATTTCATCAATCGTGTTCTGACTATTCATTGTTCGTCCGAAGTCAGCACGGTAACTTCATTGCTTTATTGGTATATGTTGATGATGTAATTTTAGCAGGAAATAATCTACAAGAAATTGAAGCCACGAAGCAGTCCCTTTCACAACAATTCAAATTAAAGGATTTGGGACAACTCAAGTATTTCTTGGGGTTAGAGGTTGCACGATCTACAAATGGCATCACCTTATGTCAACGCAAATATGCATTGGATATCTTAGATGATGCGGGATTTTTGGGTGCCAAACCTTCACGGTTTCCTGTAGAATCAAATGTTTCTCTTACACAGATGGAAGGAGAACTTCTTATTGATGCTTCATCATATAGAAGACTTGTGGGTAGGTTGATCTACCTAACCATAACCAGGCCGGACTTAGCTTATGCTGTGCACATGTTAAGCCAGTTTATGGACAAGCCTAGACAACCACACCTTGAGGCAGCACACAAAGTTCTCAGATACATCAAGAGTTCACCGGGACAAGGTATATTGCTGCCATCCAAGGGATCCTTGCAGTTAAGTGCATTCTGTGACGCTGATTGGGCCAGGTGCAAGGACACAAGAAGATCAATAACAGGTTATTACATTCAACTGGGTCAAGCACCGATATCCTAGAAAACAAAGAAGCAAACTACTGTCTCTCGTTCCAGTGCTGAAGCCGAGTACCGTTCCATGGCAGCCACATGTTGTGAGATCACGTGGTTAAAGAACATTTTGAGAGATTTAAAGGTGAGTCATTCACAACCAGTCATGTTATTCTGTGATAACCAAGCAGCCATATACATTGCTTCAAACCCGGTATTTCATGAAAGGACAAAGCACATAGAGATTGATTGTCATTTGGTAAGAGAGAAGATTCAAGAAGGAATGATTCGTACGGCATACATACGAACAAGTGAGCAACCAGCAGACATCTTCACCAAACCGTTGAATTCTACACAGTTTGAAACATTGCTCAGCAAGTTGGGTGTTATTAACATACACTCCAACTTGAGGGGGAGTGTTAAAGAAGATATCTTGGATTAGTATAGTGAATCTTGTAAATCTGTACTTAGCCTTTACTTACCTGATAAGGTTTGACTTCCTTGTTTCTAGGCATTAGTTTAGGATTAGGGTTGTGTCTTTCGTATATATATTGTAACCCTAGCCTTCGGCATTATTATGAAAAGCATTCTGCAATATCACGTTTTCTTATACTTAGATACTAAAGGAATGGAGATTTTTATGTGTATTAGACATGTGACTTAATACATCACATGTAATAAAACAATTGGTTGAAAACTTGGAAAATAAAATTTTCAACCAATTGTATTATGACATTTAGTGTACTTGTTTGTGTTCTCAGCATATTAAATTTTTTTAATTATCATTAAATGAGGTTGATATAATCTATCTATTACACAAATTTTAAGATTTAAACACGTTTAATGATAATTAATAATTAATTAACTCTTGAACTTATTTTCTGAAGTTACAAAATTAAAATACACGTGTTACTCAAATAGAGAGGAGACAAAGATTTGAACTAACGTACATACTATATGAAAATTTACCGTAAGCGATTAAGCGCGAACACCAGTAAATTTACTTCCCGCCATTTTCTAGTGTGCGCAAACGGCTATACCTCCTCTCTCAGTCTCTCTCTCCCCAAAACCCACCAATCAGCCAGAGAGATCCCATCTCAGAAGAAATCGATCTCTCCGACATAGCAAGGAAGCTCGACCTCGACGACTCCAAGGACGTCATCCGGTTCGACTCCTCCATAATCGGCGTCGTAAGCTTCTCTCAAAATCCCTAATTCTCTTATCTGATCAATTTTCCCAACTGGGTATTTATCAATTTTGATTGTAATTCGCAGGGTGAGGTTTGCAGAGCTGTGATTTGCTTAGAAATCGCCGCCACAACGTAATCGAGCTTTTGATTTGCAATCCCGACCTTTTTCAGATTCATACTGGGGTTTTAACTTTACGCTTGTGATTGTTTTGGATTGAATTGGTTTGTAGATCCCGGCTTCTATTCGATAGGAAAAAGGCGATAACGTTGAGTGGGATGTCTGAAAAGGCTTACACCAGATGCTACAATTCGATGCAGAACGGTCGTGGTCAAGTGGGTTTTCGATTTCTCATTTGGTTCTTCTGATTTCGACGTCATTTTTCGGTTTTGTGGATACTGATTACTGGATTGGATTGTGTGTTGTGGTGGTGGTGTAGGAACAAGCTGGATGTTTGAGAACTGGCAATTCAGTTTGGGTGTGTTCGGATCATCCCTTTGTACAGAAGGCCTTGTCTCTGTAAGATGCGATTTCAATCTTTTTTCGGTTTTTAATGAATACTTTTCATATGCTTGCTTCATGGAACTGCATGTCACTTGCGAAATGTTCGACAAAACGCTTCTAAGTGCATCAAGCTCTGGTTATTTGTTAGGATGGCTTGGTTCCAAGTGTAGATTATTATTATTATTATTATTATTATTATTATTATTATTATACGGTCATGTTTCAGTTACAAGACTTGGTTTCTTGCATCGTTGCCAGCTTCTCAGCGGGCAAGTACGGATTTCACTCATCCCGTGTTCATTGCTGTGGCATTCTATTTGTGTGCGAAAAAACACAAGGTATTCCCATGATTCATCTCTCTCGCTTGATTTCATGGGAAGAAAGGGATTTCCTCCGTAAGACTGGGGGCGTTTGTTTGCCCTCACTAAGTTGGACTGGATTGGACTGGACTAGCTATTAGTCCAATACTGTATTTGTTCCATACTGGGACTAACATTAATGAGACTAAAGGGGACTAGCATGGACAAAACCCTTCACTAAGAGGTCTTAACGAGACCCCCCAATAACCATGGGACTAGCTAAGACTATCCTCTCTTTCTTGTCCTCGTCATGCTCAACGACTACTCCTGACAGACTCTTCGTCATCTCCGGTCACCTAGATTAATCATTAACTTTCCGACTCTCTTTCAGATCCATTTCACAACCAACTTTCATATAAAATATACCAAATTGAAGTTGGGAGTGACAAGATTACGATTTTACCTGAATCGAGGCTAAAATGTGGTCGAATGTGGCCAGAAAATGGCCTGGAAGTCTCGGCCTGTTTGGGCTTCTTCAAATCCATGATAGATTCGAGCATTCAAAGTTAAGATCTCAGTCCAGGGATGGTGATGAATTTTTTGGCGGTGCTAACTTCATCCAATTTAACGAGGGTTGGCCAGAAAACACATCGGGAAACCTGCAACTCGTCGAGAAAATTGAAGCCGTGAGGTTCCGTTCGAACATCGCATAGCTAGAGAGGGAGGGAGGACAGAGAAATAGAGACTGGAATCAATAAGGAGTTTGACCAGGAATGAGAAAGAGATATGAATTGAGAGGTCTAAGAGGAAAAAAAGAGGGAGAGAGTGGGACGATGAGAAAAGAGGAAAAGAGTGGGACGGAAATGGTAGGAAAAGATGGAGAAAAAGATAAGATCATAATAAAATATTAATAATTTATATATTAAATAATATAATATTAGAATTTGTTATTATCCAGCTTCTTAATCCAATACTGCACCAAACGCTTCACTAAGTTAGTCCAGTTTAGTCTAGTCTAAGTCAGTCCAGCTTAGTCCTTGAAGCTAATCCAATCCGAGATAGTCCGGCGCAACAAACGCCCCCTTAGTCTTTCACTAATTAGTGTCATACCTAATATGTTTGTAGTTAAAGGTAGACAAGCTTAAGTTGATTGAGCTTTGCGGTGCATCTGAAACTGAATTCTCTTTCGTAAGATGCAGCCTTTCCTACTATGCAATAGTCATTTTTGTTGTCAACTACATTTTTTTGTTTCTAGGCTTATCATATTTGTGAGCTTCTTCTGCAGGTTTCGACTTCCATGAAAGACTTGTGCTTTGATGTTTGTAAAATTGGGAAGGAAAAGAAAGATCCCAAGGATGTAAAGGGGAACCAAGGCATATATATGTTGCTGAACTTACGTTTTAACTTTTCCATGGTGCATAACTTCTAGGTATTTTGCCATCGTTATTCATTAACTTGTCGATTGGCGCGCAGAGATTCTAGATATTTTGCCGGAGAAAAGGAAACTTGAGGATGGCGGCTATTCCTCCGATGAAGTAACTGAGGTACTAATAACCTAATAAAAAAATTCTATTTGCTACATTGGTTCCTAGCTGAGCTGACACAAACAAACTTGCATGTTTCGTCCCTACAATCTGTTAATATGCTATTTTTGTTCTGTCGGTCTCCACATTTGATATCAATCATGTTCATGCCACTACCTTATCAAGCAACCTGGATTTTCTACGCTTAAGATACATGTTAGAATTCTGATAGAATCACAAATCTTCTCTTTTTATATCGATTATCTTATTTTGAATTCTATGGTGACGCCTATCACCATCCATTTCTTTTGCGACCTTGAGGTCGAACACACTTTAGAGTGGACTCTGCCTGTACAGCATGACGGAACAAATGATATAGCTTTTGATTTTATGTTCTTGATCAGTCTCATCTTAACAACTTCTAGAGTAAGCCACCGTAGAAATGAAAACTACAGAATGTAACTGTTTGATGCCCTTGAACTTGCAGCCTTCAAGTTACAAGCGGTTTCTTTGTAATTGATATTGGCATTCTGTTTTTGGCTTGAGGAGGCTTTGGCAATGGTTAAGTTTTTACTTTTGTTTTCGGTTTTGTTTGAGGAGGCTTTGACAAATGTGCAGAAGGAAAACCTAAAGGAGCATTGCCTGTTTTGCACCTTAATCCATCTACCTTCTTTATAGGTATGCCACGTTTCTACAATTTCTGAATTTTATCTCTACAATTCAATCTAAAATATTGGACAATATTTGAAGATGAATAGTGGCGTTCAAATTTGAAAATGCAATAGCAGTTGCGAATTGGTTTTATTAAGCGTCTTCACTCTCAAGTCGTTAATTTTACTTTCCATATTTCACCTACCTTTCACATATCTAATATGGAATTAAATTATCTCAATTTGTTCATTTATTTTGGATTAATTATATTTTTACTTGACTAATTGTTGCGTTGTGGTTTTTAATATGGGAAGGTGTTGCGTGGAATGAGGAGGAGCATAAGCTGTTCTTGGTGGATTAACTTTATAGTTAGTCATTTGATCATATGAAAACATGGGATCCTCACAAGTCATAACATGACTAGGGCTATCCTTTCATATATAAACGGTGCAATCTGGTAAATAAGTTTCTTTGAATGTGCAGAAGGATAAACATTTGAATAGAAGCAAAGGCACATATAAAGATTGAAACGTCGAGAAGGATAAGGATAAGAAGAGTCAGTTCACTTTTCTCCCATGACGCTTCACTCTTTCCTCCTACGTACAAACCCATGTTGCTCTCTCCTCATCATTTTCAGAATGTAAAACCGTTCGTGCGACTCTAGAAATCAACAGGAGGAAGAAGATGACATGCACTTTAGGGGGTGAAAACCGATGCTACTCCAGAGAAAGATTAATCCGATAAAGATTCCATGCATTAGAGAGTTGCTTGGGTCGTTTCAGTTACAAAGGAGGAAGAGATGGACTTCCATTTCAGAAAATATTTGAATTGGTGGGTATATTTAAATAATTTTGCAAGCCACATGCCACAATGGATAAGTGCTTTGGGCAAAATGGGGATTGTGCCCATTTTTGTGCCCAAGATCTCATGGCACTTATGGCAAAATGCTCAAGATCTCGGTCGTGCTGGCGAAATAATTTTGCAAGTCATTTGATGGTAATCATTTCTGTCCTCTATTCAATATCTACTCGCAGAGAGCATACACTTTGTGTGTGTGTGAACAATTTATCTTAATAAGTGCATATTTTTTTCTAGAGAAGCCTCCTTGTCAACTTTTTCCCCTTTTTTTCTATTTTGCCCTTCTTTTTTTCAATAGTGTGTATCAAAAGTGAGGGAAAAATAGAAAAAAAAGAGAAAAACCGCCCACCTCCTCCCACGTTCTCCTCAAGCGCAACTGCTTTAGTTTCTTCAAACTATTCAAAAAATATCATGATTTCACTTACGTTTATAAAAAAATGATGGTAGAACATTTTCTGTTATTAAGTGCATGATGCTATCGGCACGACCATGGCCCGCGGCGAAGTTGTGTTATTAAGTGCATGATGCTATCGGTACGACCATGGCCCGCGGCGAAGTGGTGTTATTAAGTGCATGATGCTATTTTTTTCTTCTTCTCATTTGTCATTTTTTGGCTTGCCTGGGTAGGTGGATAAAGTCACTATCCTAGAGGGCAAGTACCAGAACACGTGTCCATCAAGTACTCAACTCGGTCGCTCATGCACCCGGTCGAGTTGAACATTCAACTGGGTCATTTCTCATGCAAATACCCGACTCGATGTCTGGTTCCCTCATTCTCTCTTCTCCCAGCTGCCGTACTCAACTCATCCCTGATTTCTCTCTCTCCTCCCAAATCTCCCAAATCTGCCATGGCCGACGTGGAAAATCAATACCCTCTTCGAAATCCACCTCCGTACCCACAACATCTAACTGAGACTTTGACCATCCTGTTGGCCTTGGCTTCCATTCTCTCTGCCATCGGCATGAATCCAAGCCAGTTTGTCAAACCTCCATACAACACACTCTCTCTCGTAGTTATGGCAGCTCTCTCTCTTGTCTGGTTTGGACTTTTTGTGCTCTCTTCCCGCCTTCCATGCCGATTCATTATCTGGGGAGGGCTTGCCCTAGTGTGGGTGATGTACTGGATCATTCTGCATGGCATCCTTTCACCCCAATTTTTCTGGCCAATGGTTTGTTCTTTTAATCTTGTTTTGGGGGTCATGTTGTTGTTGAACCAAAGATTTACAAATGTTTGGGAGCGTGGGATCCAAGTCATGGCTGAAAACTGCAGATTTTGGAACTATAACATGGGAAACAACTAATGTTCGGGTAATGTATCTGTTCTTTTATTTTTATTTTTATTTTTTATGTAATGTATCTGTTCATACTTTTCTTACTAAAAACATAATTTTAACCAATGAGATTTAATTTTCTCCACAATAAACCCAACGTAAGTTTTTTACTTGAATTGACTAGATTTCACATTAGCAAATATTTAGATTCTGAGAAAAGTTAAAAATTCATTAAACGGACCCTATGAAACATGTATCATAGAGTTTTTGGGTGAATTTTGATTCAAATTTTTTTTTTAAATTGTTTTAGCTATTGGAATTTTTTTTATGGTTAGATTTGATCATTTTCGATCTCAGCCGTTGGATTTATTGTATTTAAAATTTTAATATTACCCAAATTTTAAGTTTCAACCCAAAATTTATTTTAGACCCAATGAGGATTTGATTAGTTTAAAACCTAAGTGATTTATGCTTTCTTCTTATAATTATTTTCTATTGATTCATGTTCATCTTTTTTAGAGTATATTTCTAGCCTCAAAATTATTTATACAAATATTACACATGTGTACAAATTTCCACAAAAAAAAAAATAAAAAAATAAAAAACCCTGAATAATACCTGTACACCACACGTGTTCCATATTTTACTATGATTTGCGTATCTATACTATTAAGAGAACCCTTCTTGTAAAAAATTTCCCCTCTTTCTTTTCAATTTTGCCCTCACTTTCGATACACACTATTGACAAAAGGAGGGCAAAATAGTAATTTTGTACCTTTTGATAAAATGACAATCATATCCTATTTTTCCTATTTTACCCTCTTTTTTTTTTTTTTTTTATTAAAGAAAATGACAATCATATACTTATTTTTCCAATTTTACCCTCACTTTTGATACATAATATTTACATAAAGAGGACAAAACAATAATTATGTAATATTAAAAAAAATGCACTTATTAAGAGAAATTATTCATACACACAAAGTGTGTACTCTCTGCTAATATATAATATAGGAGCGGTTGATGTTGCTCAAATACAAAATACACTAAAAATGTTACAAATGCTACAATTGGTGACAAAAATATATAATATAGGAGCGGTTGATGTTGCTCAAATACAAAATACACTGAAAATGTTACAAATGCTACAATTGGCGACAAAAAATTAGACAAATTACTGCTAAACCAATGTTTTTTAGTTACTTATCTCTTTTGTTTTGCGTATGAGTATCTTATTAATAATTATTTTTAATTATTTTCTCTTCCAATGTTCTTTTCAAATTAGTAGAAGGATGGAGAGAGAGCCACTTATCAGCAAAATACCTGGTCCACTCCTCTTATTTTGTATCTCTTCATGTAAGACTTGTTATATTTTATTCAGTGGTGTGTAATTTTAATATTTTGGATCTCTCCATGCAAGACTTGTAATATTTTGTCGATCGTGTGTAATTTTAATATTGTTGATCTCTATGTATGAGCTGCTATGTTTGTTTGGTCAAGTGTGTAACTTTGTTTTTTAATATTTGTGTAACGTTTACTGAATATTTGTGTTACTGTAGATTATTCCATTTTTGTTAAATATAGAATATCGTTCTATGAAAAAAAAAAAAAAATCATCACATATTATAATCTGCTCGTACTTAAACGACCATTTTTATTGAAATCGCTTACATTCGCACTCTGCCTTGACAACTAGTTTACCTTGATAATTACCAGCACGGAATGTTTGATGCTTACTCAATCATAGAGTGGTTCTATTCACATTACTTTCAAATAGTTGTGTCAAGTTCCATTTTTGACATGTTTGATTGTTAATATTACCTTAGCTTACTAAAAGTGTAATGGCTTCTATGTTTATGATAAACTGAGGCACTAATAACCTAATTAAAATTTCTAATTGGGACATTGGTTCCTAGCTGAGCTGACACAAACAAACTTGCATGTTTCGTCCCTACAACCTGTTATCATGCTATTTTTGTTCTGTCCGTCTGCCACATTTGATATCAATCATGTTCATGCCACTACCTTATCAAGCAAACTGGATTTTCTACGCTTAAGATACATGTTAGAATTCTGATAGAATCACAAATCTTATCTTTTTATATCGATTATCTTATTTTGAATTCTATGGTGACGCCTATCACCATCCATTTCTTTTGCGACCTTGAGGTCGAACACACTTTAGAGTGGACTCTGCCTGTGCAGCATGACGGAGCCAATGATATAGCTTTTGTTTGTATAATCTTGATCAGTCTCATCTTAACAACCTCTAGAGTAAGCCACCCTAGAAATGAAAACTACAGAATGTAAATGTTTGATGCCTTTGAAATTGCAGCCTTCAAGTTACAAGCGGCACAAAAAAGATCGAAAAGCGTGCCTACGAGGGTTGGAAAACCTCAGTCCTCACATCTAATAGAGAAACCAAGGCAGAAGGTTTGAATGCATTTCCTTTCAGATTGTTTCACTCTGTACCAATCATGCACATTGAGATGGAAGAACCCAACTGATATGTGTTTGCTCTTCTCAGTTCTTTGCAAGCGGACCAGACAAACTAGCCTAAACCTTCTGAAGGATGTACATGTACACGTATCCGAAACTCAGAACTTGGAGGCTCTATAGGACGATACATGTTTGCCTTCTTGTGCCATACGATCGAGAACGTCAAGCAAAGCATTGAAACGGTGAACGAATTATTGAAGTTCTGATTGCAAACTCATCAGATATCGATATGTAGATTGAGTGAAATGTATCAATAGAAATTTCAAATTTCATCCATGAATACAAGCAGAGTTCATGTTTTTTGGTTGGGGATGGCCATTGCTCATGAAGTATTTGGGTTGATTTATCGAATGAGACCAACAGTGGTGGAGCTAAAATTTTAACTCAAGAGGGGTTCAAAAGTCTCACCCTAAAATTCTTCTTTGATCCAAGAAAAATAAAGATATGCCCTGTCCTAAGCTACCGACCACCATCGTTTGGTTTTGGTATGATGTTCTTGTCATCCTTTTCCTCAATTCAACTCCCAAAAGTCCTTTTAAGCAGAAGAATGAAGGAAGCTCACTCACCTACCTCCTCTCTCTCCCTCTTCTAATCGTCTGAGTTCCTCAAAATTCACAGTGACGTTGGTTAACAACATAACAACCATCAACCTTACTTCAAACCTAGTGAAAGAAATAAAGTAAAGATTATAGTTGGGTCCCTAATACCTTGAAATATCTTCGAAAATCAAAGGCATAATTCTAATTTTTTCTGCGTGAAGAAAATGTGAGAGTAGGCCTGAAACCATTCTGATTCTTACAAGGCTATGTCCCTAGAGACCAACATGGTGTCTAGCGAAAGAAAAAATTCAGTATGGTAGAGGGTCCAGTGGTTCCAATCTCTCACACCGTACTCTTTTACAAACTCTCTTTGTTGTTTGGTTAATTTGAGTCATCGTGATAACGTGACAGACTTCTTATTAGACATCCTTACAAGTTCAACCATGTAACGTCCCTACTAACGCATACTTTCATCTAGGGGTGGAAGTTTTTGTTGAATTACCATACCAACCGAATTACTAACCGTACCATATCAAAGTTGTGCCAAAAAATTTGTACCATTGGTAATGGTATGGTATTTGTACCGTACCATACATTTTCGGTACGGTAATGGTATTCAAAATCATTACCAGTGGTATACCGTATCATACCACTAATATCATTTATTTATATAATTAGGTATTATTATCATTATTTATGCACTTTATATTTTTTTAGTAGTCATTTATCCAATCATCTCACCCTCTAACCTTTACTTTCCTAATAAAAAAACCTAAGCCTTCTTGCGCTGTGACTCTTCATCTTTTCACTCATCTAGCCATCAGCGTCATCTATATTGCTCCCGTTCCGGCAACTCTCTCCTTCTCTTTGCAGTCCGTCTCATCTTCTCCTTCATCAAATTGGGATGTCTTTCTCCTTGGCTTCTTCTATCAAGTTAATTTTTGTACAATTTGAAAGAATGTAGGGATATAATTTAGGAATATTTGTACCATTTGTTTTAGGGATGTTAGGTTCTTTCAGCAATTCTTCCATTTATTTACTTCTTGTTTCTTAAATGAATCTCTATAAAATTCTCATGATTAAATGAAAAAGTTTTAGAAACCCAAAGAGAGTGGCCAAAACACATTTGGGCCTTGAATTGGGTTATAAAAAAAAAATCAAAATTTGGCCCAAAAGAATGGCAAAAAACAAAGTGGTAATTACTATTACCATATCATGTCAACCGAACTATTTGACATGCCAAGATTTGGTATACCAAAAATTTAACACGATAATAGTAATAGATTTTGTCATATCAAAAATTTGGTATGATAATCGATACATGAGTTTTGATACACTAATCGTACCAATACCACCCTTACTTTCATCTAGTGTACACGTGTTATTGACCTTTTTTTCTTCCACCGTGCTATTGACATATTTGGTAATCGGTGTCCTTGTTTATTCTTTGATCAAATGTTGATGTCATAATTTGCAAAATCTCCAAAATGCCTTCCAAGGAGCACAAGCTGACACGTCGTCCCAAGGGCACTGTGGACTTTCCACCCTCCCGCGTTGATTTGTAGGCTTTGAAACGGGAGAAAATTCTTCCACTCATTTTTCAGTCAAACCCGGCGTGCCCTTTTTTAGTCCGTCCCACAGGAAATTAATGCAAAACCCTTCCATTACAAAAGAATGAGGATCGTCCTCTTCGGATACTCTTAGTAAAGATTACGAGGATTCTTAAATCATATGATATGAATTTTTAAATTATGTTTGTTTATTGTTTATTATTTGATTAAAAATTATTTTAAATATTTTTATTTAAAATTAAATATAAACGATACCAGATAAAAATTGTTCACAAAATATATAAAAATTGTTCACAAAATATATAATGAACGAATATAAATTAAAGATCTCTAAAATTCTTACAAAAATCCAGAAAAGAACATTCGTTACAAAGAATAATACCGTTGGTCCCCCAGCGATTCAAAAGCTCCCACCAAATCGCAGGACCCACAAAACGCCCAATCCGTGGAGTCCACGTAGCGAGCTCACCAGAAGAAACGACTCCACAGAGCTAGGCCATTGTTTCCAACGAGCCTGCTGTTGAATTTAAACAAAAATCAAAACTTGACCCACCTTTTTCTTCAATGATTTTTGATATAAATGTTTATCCTGAATATTTTTAAGTTAAAAAAAACTTGATTGCATTTCCAACCGACGTCAATAATAGTGGAAATTTCCTATTTTGGTTTAGGGTTAGGATATCTTTCTCTAATTTAGGATTTTGCGAATTTGGGGATAAATTCGAAACGAATCCATACTTCTCATGCGAATTTCGACTTGTGGGTTCCTTTCTTCTTCTTGATAGTCGGGTTTTTTTTTTTTGAATTCTTCCGAAAATCAAAAAATGGGAATCGAGGTTTCCGATGAGCTGTTGGGAACTTTCGTCCCGGTTTTGATTTATTGGGCGTATTCGGGGATTTACGTGCTGCTGGATTCGTTCGAGAAGTACCGTTTGCACACCAAGAAGGACGAGGACGAGAAGAATTCGGTCTCCAAGCGAACGGTGGTCAAAGGGGTTCTTCTGCAGCAGACGGTTCAGGCTATTGTCGCTATTATCCTGTTCACGGTAACTACTTCAATTTCCTTTACCTTTCCCTGTTTTTTGAGGCTAAAATTTGGTTAATTTCGCATTCTCGGAAGGAAAGAATTAAACTTTGATCAGGTTATGAATTGGGAAAGTTTAGTTTTTTTGTGGGTAATTAATATTGTTTGGTTTGTTGGGGTTGGGGGTGTCAAAATCTGGTTAATTCTCCTTTTGGGGATACAATTCTGTAATTTGGTTTTGCATAAAAGTTTCTGTTGTTTCCTTTCTGGGTTGTGTTAATTGTGTGGTAATTATAGCAAACAGGCTGCTAAGCCGGCAACCTAGTTGCATAATACCTTGAACTTTTCATATCGTTTTCTATTACGTAGTTAGGAAAGTAGTTGGAAATGTGATGATTGCAGGAGTTCCTGCTTCTTTTGGTTGGTTTTGCTAATACAATATCAGATGCGAAATATTTGTCCTCGTCTTGTTTTATTCTGTTTAATGATCCTTAACTTATCGAATGAACTGAACAGGAAAGTAGTTGCAGGAGTTCCTGCTTCTTTTGGTTGGTTTGCCTCGTCTTGTTTTATGCTGTTTAGTGATCCTTAGCTTATCGAATGAACTGAACTTTAGGTTTTGGTGATCTTAGCCTCTTTCATTATATTGTTTTTTGTTATCATGCTATATGACATTTCTTATGATCTAAGCTTCATCTTCGAAGACATTCGAGTTTTCAAGGGATGGACTTGTGTGTTTACGCAAGCTTCTTTCAATTTGTTGTTAGCATATGAGGAAATTGTAACATGAATATAGAAAATTGGGCTTCTTCGGTCTGTTTAGGACAAGTGAACCAGAACTAGTCTAGCTGTGGCCACCTTCAGTCAGTTTGGATATCTGCTTTGTGAAAGTATTACTTTGTAGAGCTTCTAGCTCTTGAAATGTATTCACTTAACTAATTAGGTGCCCCATTTCAATGTATGTCATAAAGTAGTACAAACTTTTAAAAGAGGATAGTAAATGATTGAATATCATTAGGTGGCGAACATTAGGTCTCTCGTCCACCTTACTGGATTTCCTTTATTGTTGATCTATGAATTACACTAAACAGTTTGATAATTGTTACCATCCCAGGTTCATTGCTTCCCATATGATAACCATTTTTAGGGAGTGAAACCAGAATCTTCACTATGCATTGTGCATGTAGCTTTGTTCACAAGTCCTTGTTAGGGTTCCCTTTCCCAATTGATACATGAAAGACACTCATTACTATAGCTCTTCCTCATTTATGTGGGGATAATGCCGTGGTAGTTTTGTTTTTTTTCGCAAAAAGAGTGTTTTTATTGGTAAGCACCCTGCCATCAGTTATTTTCCATTTCCTGACCCCTGCTTCAGACCTGATGCATCATCTCCGGTATGCTCATATTTGTTTGCTGATTTTAACTCACGTAGCTTATGACTTCTTTTTAATTGATAGGTGACAGGAAATGACGGCGGGGATGAAGGTACAAAGTCTTCTTTCATTGATCTAGCAAGACAGTTTGTTACCGCAATGGTGGTTTTGGATACCTGGCAATACTTTATGCATAGATATATGCACCACAACAAGTTCTTATACAAACATATCCATTCCCAACATCACCGACTTGTTGTACCCTATGCATTTGGAGCTCTGTACAATCATCCTGTGGAGGGACTACTCCTTGATACAATTGGTGGGGCCTTATCTTTTCTCCTCTCTGGTATGTCTCCTAGAACCTCCATATTCTTCTTCTCCTTCGCTACCATCAAAACAGTAGACGATCATTGTGGATTGTGGCTTCCGGGGAACCTTTTCCATGCATTGTTCAGAAATAATAGTGCTTACCACGACATCCACCACCAGCTCTATGGAACCAAGTATAACTTCTCCCAGCCATTCTTTGTTATGTGGGATAGAATACTTGGTACGTACATGCCTTACTCATTAGAGAAGAGAGCGGGTGGGGGCTTTGAAGTGCTGCCTAAGAAAGTAGAGAAGGAGAACTGATTCTTACACAAGGAAACACGAATCTATATTTGATTGTACCGGTATTTGTTGTTTTTCTTTCTTAGGAAACCACACTGCCTAAATATTGTGTATATACATATACGGTGCTGTGCCTTACTCTTTTGTTTTCCTTTTTGAATGAGTTTTAAAACTTAGTCGTGGAATCAGGAATTCATGTATTAAGATAAATTCCGACATTAGCTCCGGTGGTTTCATTCCTCCACCGGATTCTGTCATTGTGAACTACATTTGCTTTTGGATTGAGGATGTGAACGGAGAAACCGTTGTGGGGGTCTACTTACTCATGTAGTCTAAATTTTCACTATATTGTTTTCAAATTTCTGTTCGTGCTGGAATTATCAACATTCTTGTGGTGTCATATTATCCGAACTCCGTTTAATAAAGACATGGCCTCGTTTGGCATGCCGTACTAGACATCGGATAGGACTACTTAATACGAATTAGGTGTTTGATGCTACTACGTATTAAATAGCCACCGGTTAATTTATCAAGGCCCGCCCACTTTATACGGCTCACGCCGTTTAACTTCTCTGCTAAAAAAACCTCTGTATTATTGAGTCGGGTTCTCAAAAAATGCTATAACAAAATTTCATCGTTTTTTTCCTTTTTCCTCGCGATTGGCTTGTGCGGCCATCTTCTTCTCCAACTGAAAGTATTCCTTCTTCTACTTCTTTCTCTTGTCGACTGATTTCACAAATTCTTATCACTGCCTTTTGGGTTTTCTTCATCGTCGTCACCAAGAACTTGGTCTTTTTAACTGCAGACTCCTTCAAGGCTCTGATTTTTGGATAAAAAGTTTGCTTCATTCATAGGTATTTGAGCTTTCTGCCTTTCTGGGTTCTAATTAAAGTGAATCTTCATCTAATTTGATATGGGTTTTCTTTGGTTTTACCATTTTTGGAGCTTTTAATCTGGGTCTTGGAAGAGTAGTATGAGAAATTGAGAGGTGGAGTTTTGTTGGATTGAAGGGTTCATCATGCCGGATCAAAGATGCTTATCTGATATGCCTATCCCAAAATTTGATCGGTGTATGATTAATTCGTTTTTTTTTTCCTTCAGTTTTTCCTTTTTTCCATTTAACATAGGTTATTATGTGCAAAGTTACTAAAATTATTTTGGTTTGAAGCAATTTTTCTCCTTTCTTTTATCTTTTTCATTGTTCAGCAAAGTTTCAAAAATAATAATAGTTTGAAGAAAATAATATTTGTATTAAGTGTTCCCATTCTGTACAGTGGCAATATAAATAATACGATTATTAGTCCGATTGCACTAAACGTCTAACTAATTAAGTTAGTAATATTCGGTAACTATTTATTTTGACTAAAAGAGTAATATAGTCCGAGCTGCCAAACGAGGCCCATGCGTATAGGAAATAGTTTTACCGGTTACAAGTTAACCATAACTCACTGTTGTGCCGAACTGATCGCTCTCTGCATTATATCAAACTCTACCATACCTTTCTTGCTGATAATTTGGAAAGGGTTAGTTTAGAATGTCGACTGAGGAGCGAGGACCTACCTCAAATCCATTCACTATGTTTTGGTTATGAGACAATATGATATTCTAAATTACTCTATTAGGATGGAAATTCGAACGCACACCAGTAAATCCTATGCATCGTTTTTCTGTACTAGTAACCGGCACCTGAGGAATGGTAAAGGATAAACGGATATAGTTTTTTGTTTAAGATTGATGGTTCTTTCGATTTTTGTAAGATTCATGGTTCTCTTGTGGGGTGCTTACTCTGCCACACTTTTCTAGTTAGTTCACAACCATGGTCCTCAATGTTGTCCTCTCTCTCTCTCTCTCTCTCTCTCTCTCTCACATTTATGGCCGCCATCGACCACTTCTTCCTCCTTGAATTTACATCTACACGTGCATGTCTCTAGGAAACAATTCGCATGTCAGGAGTTTATACATTTTTGTTTCTCGTCTCTCTTCTCGTAAATTTTTATATACTGTGACAAGCAGATTTCTCTCGTTTAACTTCACTTTTCTTACAAGGTTACGGGGTTTATTGTGCCTGCCTCTCACCTCACAAGGTTATAGTATAATGTGTACACGCCTTGACGTGCAAATTTCTCTCGCTTAACTCTACTCTTCTCAATGTTCTCATGTCAAAGATAATTGGAATGCTTCTAAAAGCTTTCCCAACAAACAACATAACCATTGAGGTTTACTGGTACAAAGTAGAAACCCAACTGTCTGTAGTAATCCCTTATATTATTGTTCATTCGGATTTTAGTTCTAGGATTGAAATACAATGACAACGACAAACCCTTATCTCATTAAGTAGGGTCGACTATATGAATCCTAGAACGTCACTACGCTCGATTTTGCCAAAAATGATTGTTGAATTTCCTTTTCTGCAGTTGACTTGTTATCCTTCTATAATCCAAAATTAAATATTTGGTCCTGGCATTTGAAATGGAAGGGCTAAAAATGGGCCAGTGTATTTATAAGCAAGTTATGGCAGATTTTGATGCTTATCCAATTATGCTCTGTGGTTTTTAATGGGGGTATGAATGTTTCATGGTGAGATTATGCCATTTTTTGGCAGACATTCCTTCCTTTAAAATTGAAAGATCGACATTAAATAGTATATAGATGGATAGAGTGGAAAAATAATAGTAAGAGGAGACTAAATTGATTGGATTATTGGCTTTGGAGGTTGGATTCAGGAACACATGGAAACCCTTCTGGCCCTTGGCCACCCTCTTGGTTGAACTTTTTTTTCCGAACTTATGAAATTTTCTAGCCCCCATGAGGACCTAATGTAAAGAACGTTATGTGTGATTATTGAGGGATTTAAATTGACAATGAATTATGAGGATGTTACTTGTTATATTAATTCTTAATTTGTCGATGTATATGAATGGTTAAACGTTCTCAAATTGAATGATTTTTCTAGACATGAGCTTTAGATGAGAATAAAGAGAACCAAGGTTGTGATTATCACTTTTTTACAATGAAATGATGTTACATTGTCATTGAACGAGAAATAGTCCAATAAAAATAATGTCACGTCGTCCATAATGAAGGAATGGCTCAAGCCATGGGCTGGCCTAAGCCAGGTATTGTCCTGATTATCTGATGTTGCTTCTAAGACCAATATAAATTCTCTATGCAGGACGTCTGTTTCATATGGACAATCATTTCAAAGATCAGATGCGTGCTTCATACCGAGATATTACTTGTTACAAGTGGGAAGAAAATCCATCCCAGTGTGGGGTTTGATTGAATTTTGGATGTGGGCCGGGATTGATTGAATTTTGTGTTTCTGATGATGGGGAGCTTTCTGTTCATAAAACTGGACGCAATGTTTCTGCTATTTCTGTTTCTACTGAAATTCAAAGCAACTGTGAAGGATGAAAGAAGTGTGAAAGATTCGCAACTGTTTAACAGTTTACCGTTGTCTAGGGCTTTCTGCTATATATATATATATATATATATATATATATCTTCAGGTGTGGTCCTTGGAGGGGAATATAGACAAAAGATTTGACAACTCGACCATGTTAGCTTCCAGTTTAAGCTGCCTTTTTGTGAAGCATTGAAAGTGGAGTGTTTGGAGCCTCAGGTTTTGAAGCCACAAGAATATAAGAAAAAAAAAGAAGATAAATTTGTAGCCTTCTAAACATGTCAAGGAAGAGGAAGCATTTGAAAAACAGTTTTCCAGCGCGTGGCGGGAGAAAAGTGCTTGTGCACTGCCGTCTGCTGACCAGTTTGTTTGTAATAGGCCAGCAACGCACATCAAATCTTGCATTTTTCTTGCAGAAAAGGTTGGAACGAACTAGTAAGAAAACTAGTTAGATACAGAGTTAAAAGAGCTATTGCGTATTGAAATTGGATAGTCAGCGTATATTTAGCCGTTAAATTCAGTATTGTATGTCATACATTAATGTATTGAAGAAATTTTTATAATGAGGGTACTCTACCTCAATGTATAGTAATCATTGCCTTTTAACTTTTAAGTGGTTTAGATACACTTGTTAAATTTCTTAAATTCTTTAGCACACATCCAACCGTTAAATTCAGTAATTGTTATAGCGAGCACTCTAAAACTTTTAAAGAAGCAGCTTTTGGAATTAATCACTACTACTACAGAAAAATATTTAATCATACATGGTAGAAATTCCAGAGAAAATTATGATCCATACATTATATATACTGCATTAATAAATAGATTTACTTTACTACATGAACAAAAGATGTGAAGCGTGCGGTGAATGTGAACGAGGGAGCGGCCGTGCTGCAAAAGCACGCTGCCCTTGGACTCTGGCATCAAATCCTGTAAGCTTACTAGTTGTCTCCGCTTGAAACCTTGTCCCTGGCACGTATGATTCTGCCCGGCGGAGCGTGACGTGCTGTTCGAAATAGCTCTTCTCATGTTGATATGTACTTCTGTGTGCATCTCCGGCAACTTTCACAGATTTCTGGCTCGTACAACCCAACAGCGCTCCGGCACGGTGCCTCGGAATTTCCTTGCTCATTCTTGCTTTGGCATTCGTAGAATTTGGAGCCATTTTAGCTGGTCTCTGGTGATCTTCGAAATCGGACATCATGGAGATGTCAGCAACGCTGGCAGTGACCACACTCCACTCTATGCTCGCCTCACTCGGCGCATAACAATTCGTTGGCGTCACAGAGCCGGCATCTGATGCTTGCCGCGCAAGAAAAGGGTTTGCTCTGCCGGTGAGGCTCTCAATCTCGAAAAGATCCGAACTTGCATCACTATCCGACTCGTTGTTGTAGATTACATGGCCAGAATTCGCCGGAAACTCATCCCACGGCAGCATTGTGAGCTTTTTTTCGAGGGCGAAAGACTTGTTTCGCTTCCCAAACACAGGGGAGCCAAACACTTCCAAAGACTTCCTCACTTTCTCCGCCTCCTCTTCTGCTTGCTGAAAAGGCAGCATCTTCGCCGGCAAACTCCCCGCTCCGTATTTTGAAGTTGGGAAAGCAAAACAGTTCTCTCTTCCCGACCCAACTCCTAACTTATCGAGCTTTTTGCTTTTGTTCATATCAACTATAACTTCATCAATAATGTCCGCCACGCCGGGAGGTTTATGATCGATTGGTGTAATCGTGCAGCCTGTGTTTGCACCATGGTTGTTCTTCTTGAAGCTGATTTCTCCGACGTGTTCATCCACATCAACCGAATTCTTATCCAAACACGAACATTTGCAGCCAAGGCTGGCAAAGAAGTTCTTCCTCTGTCTGTGTCCCTCACTTGTGTTTGTCCGGTAAGGATTTCTCGACGCACTTCGAAGCAAGGCGCTTTGGCTGTTCAAGCTCGATTCAACACTCGGAGTCCCCGGCTGAACCCTTATCTTCATGTGATCCATACTCACTGGTTTATCCTTGTTGTGATGGTATTTCTTCGTGCTGCTGCTGCTGCCGCTTTTCGAGCTTGTCACGCTCGTCTCCTCATCCATCACTCCATTGAAGTATTTTTCAGCTCCAAAAACTCCAATTTCTTCGTCGTCAGCTGCTTCCTTCTTTGTACCCAAGTGATTGTTATTGTTATGCTGCTGCTGCTCCTTGCTCGCCTGATCGGCAAGTTTACGCACGAAGGCTTCCTCATTGCCGCTCAAGTATGACGAAAAGGAGGCATCACAGTTGGCGGCGTTGTTCTCGAATGGAAAAGTTTGCGATATGTTCGCCATGCTAGTCGATTTTAAGGTAACCATAGCCATAGAGAAGAGAACTCAAAATTCCCAAAGAAACTTTTTTGATACAAGTGATATTACCGAAAAGCTAAAGTTGAACCAAATTCTAGACCTCGAGTGCAGGGTTGAATTCTCGAACAAACTCTATACAACAAAAAGTAGAGAAAACAAATTGGTTTAAAGCACATAAAACTACAAAAAGATGAAAAAAAAAAAACCGAAAAATAGAAAATTTGAAACAGAAGATAAGAGGGATCGAATCGAAGGAGGAACTGAATTGAGGAGAAGGAGGATTTTGGTGAATAGTTCAGAGGCTCGGAGAAGACAAGATTGGTGAGAGAGCTAGTTGAGAAGTCTTCTTGTATATGTAGAGGTAGAGGATTATCATGGAACACGCAAAGTTGTACATTAAGAGGGGTAGGGACATGTTTGCTTGGTTGCCTAATTTGACAGTTTGTCATTTTTCTTCAAGACGAAAAATCATTGGTTTTCGTGTTACCATTAGAGAGAGAAAGAGAGACATATATATATATATATATAGAGGATTTAGTTCCTTTCCTGAGCTAATGAAGAGGATCATTATGATCTATCATTGTGGACCGTTGAATTTTTATTCAACGATTATAATTATTATAACTTTAAAGAAATCTCCTGTTTGTAGCCGTTGGATAAAAATCCAACAGCCCACAATGATGGGTCAGGAGGATCCTCTCCATTAGCTCAGGAGAGGATCCAAATCCATATATATATACACACACACACAATATCTGACTTGACATGTAATTTTCCAAGAAATCCGCCAAATGTACGGTACGTAAAATGTTTGGTTCGATTTCCATATCTGTGGATGTCATATAACATGGTGCTTTAATTTGCTTTCGAACATTTGGACGCCTACAAACATGAGAAGCTCACATCAACTTGTTGGATTCCAAAAATACAGAAAATTTTCAACTTATGATTCTCTCTTCAAGGACATATGACTAAGAACAGATCTAGAGCAGTAGAGCTACCCTCTCTTGCATATATAGGAAATTTTAGTAGGGCAATGTGATCTTGTGATTTGGTTAGACACTCTTAGAAGTAGCATTCTAGATACTGTACAATCACGTGATCAGACTGGCTACTGAAATTTTTTACTTATACATAAATACACGTACATGACTTGGCGCAACAGAAAGGTTGTCATTTTGTGACTAAAAGGTCATGTGGAAACAGTCTCTTTGCGAAACAAGGGTAAGGCTGCGTGCCCAGACCATAGCAAAATGGCTCGTTTTTACTTGAACTACATTTAGCACAGAACTTCGGATACATGAATGAATACTCTCAACTACTTGAGCTACAAACCTCTTAATTAATCGTTCCCTTCAATTTCTAGAGAATAATGAAGAGTATGGCTTCTATGTGAAAAATAAATATTTGTAGTCGATCTGACATACAAGCCATTTGATAAAACAAATAGAACCCATCTTCCTTTGTTAATGAAGACACAAAGAATTTGTCGTCTCAATATCCACAGATTGCTGTGTCTTCTGGAGTCTGAACACCATTTATCTGTCTTTTTTTTTATCTTCTCATCAGTCAGAAAAATTATGCATCAATAATTGAGAAACACAGTGAAAAGATTGCAAACAGACTCTTTGTAATGTGTTGCCGGGGCCGGCGTGGTTAGTCATAGACTCCGACAAGTTTGTTAGAATGTGAGCATTCAATTCAATACGAATTGCCAGTGAGTAAAGGGGTCCACGATCTTTTAAATTTTTATCATAAGACTTTTATATTCAATGTGAGATAAAATTTAACCGGATAAGAGACGCATCTTAATTTTAGAAATTTTAGTATATTTATGAAATTAAAGGACATGAGGATATGAATATTACACGCAGACATTGTCTTAATGCTTGAATTCATTGCTTAACCAACAAATTTAATTCCATCCCATCACAATAAATTCCATCGTTGTTGGTTTGTGCCTTCGGTTTCAAGAAATCTAGTCCACACGAAATTTTACCGTCGAAGAAGTCCAAGACTCCAAACCAAAGACCTTGTCAGCAACAGTTGGCCAGATTTATGCAGTTTTCATGTCGATGTTACGAGCCGTCGAATCGTCCACGAAAATGGTAAAATCGTATAAGTGGAAAGGAAAACTTAGAAACCAGAGAATATCGATGTTTCGAGTTCTCATTAATCTGCACGGTGCAAGTCATACCTCAGAATTTCGACAGTCAGCTAAGGAAGCAAGTGTTTGTTCGAATTTTGGCCTCCGTGGCATACACGATTAATAAAAAAGAAAACTAATGAAAAAAGCTTGAAAACTTTGAATTTTAACGATAAGGACAAAATAAAAGATAAAATAAATAGTACCAGAATTAACTTTTTAGTGTACAGTATCGTTATAATGAACAGTATCGGAAGCTTTTCGTTAAAGTGAACATAATAAAAAGGGGTTTTGTAAAATGAATGACACTCTAAACATACAAGCAATGTAGCTCTGTGGCTTTGTTTACTTGTAAATTACTACAAAGGAACATGGCGGAAGATAGTTAACGAACATAGATTGTGTAAGCCCTCCTCCTTACTAAGTATGAAGTAGTCGGGCAGCAAAAGTGGGCACTGGAAAAATACACATCCTGTGAGGACTTGTAACAGAGAACATTGCCAGCTTAGATCCACGTCGAGGCCTCGAGGCAGTCCTTTAAGGCGTTCATTGCGCGGAGGTGGAGTTTCCAACCCAGTACTGCTTGACAGCAACCAATACCTTCTCTGGTACAAGGGGACCATCCTCATGGTCCACCATTTTAGTATCCCATCTCATTCCTCCAACTATCTTCTTCACCTTAACTAATACATCGACTTCATCACGGAATATGACGGCACCTTCTGGCCGCAAGATCCGATCCATCTCTAGAAGAATGTCTTCCCAGTTGCATCTGCAACACATTCAATACAGCTTAGCAGTCAGAGAAAAGCAGAAGGAAAGAATAAGCAAAACATTATTGAATTGGTCTTGGCATAAGAAACAATCTGGAATTGAGGAAGTTAGTTCTACGTCTACTATTTCAAGTATGGGATCCCCGTCATTACTTTAACAACTACCCCTCATTGGATCTACATATACTATCCCTCATTGAGATGGTTCCGCAACATGACAGTCGGATTCTTACTGTGACAAGTTAACAAATAGTTGGTATTAGATGTACATATACTATTGTAACCAAAACAGTCGCTCCGCCCTCAAACTAACAGGCTTCATGTAGCATCGTTTAGCAGCAAAGTGCTCAGGGAAATCACTGTTGGACCGTAAAATAACGTCCTAATAAGTTTACTGTATTAACCATTCTTAATCGTTCGACATGAATAATAAGGCAGGCCAATCCAATAAGCTTCAAGAACAATATTCGACCGAGAAAAAGCACAAAGGGTAGAGAGCCAAGATTAAATGAAACTAAACAAGTTCAGAATGTCAGGTTGACCTAAATGAGCTTAACATCATCAAGGTCAATCCATCCATACTGAAACCAGCAATAGAATCAAGCTTAACACTGTTTTCTATGTACTGAGCCCACGAAATATCTCATTAGGTATTACACCAAATAATTTGAGGGTTGAGCTAAGGCTTTCTCCGTTGGAGTGAAAAAAGAACTAACGAAAGCCAAAAAATAATAACTAACAAAGATATACAACTTACTTTCCATTGTACAAACTGAAAACACCATGGGCATGAATGAGGTCATATGTCCTTGGGTAAGTAGAGAAACCTTCACACCTGATATAGAATCACCAGAAAAAAGAATAAAATGGTTGGCAAATGAACAAAATTAATGAAAGGCGAAATCTGCACCAGGACCTCACAATTATTTAACACATCCTAGGAACTTTTTGTTTTAAGAAGAAATGATTGGTATATATAATTCACTTCTAAAACCGTTTTGGACATAGCCATACACACGCTGTAAAATACGCAACACAATTCTATTGACGTGTTTTAACATCTGACACAAATGTTCAGCTGCCAGATGACATTTTTAGCAGGAAAGGACATTATAATGGTTATCTTGAAAGCACATAGTCTAGTAAGCGTGGTAAATATAGGAATGTCAACAGAATTTGCTAAAAAGGATGCTCTAGAGGAACAATTAGACGAGGGAGAAAAGTTCAGAGTAGGGTACCAATCATGGTAGATTCCAATCAATCCTCGCTCATAAACAACACCCAGCGTATTTTTCTCAGCTAGTGTGGGCACCACATTCATGACCCACAATTTTGGAGATTCAATTGCTGCAGCAAAACCACCCAAACCAGCATTCATATCCATAATGTTGCGATACCTTCCTGTGTCTATTAGTTTATTGATTCGTTTATAAGCATTCACGTGCTTCTTCCATTTGTTGTTATCCTCCTCGTAGTCCTCAACAGAAACTCCAGGAACAGACCCACTAGAAATCCTGGGGGGAACAGCATAAAGCCTTTTTGGAAACGGCTTCAACTCCCCACTGGAAACTTTAGGGTATGGAGTTATGCATCCCTCCATTTTCTTATACCTGATAACAACCCAAATGAAAAAAAAATAAGAAAAAGTATATCTATGTTAACAGCATAAGCTGATACGTGGAGTTTTCTTATTTGTAACCTGACCAGAACTCAGGACCCCTTTGATGCAAAATTTGAAACAAAAAATATTTCTGCAAGGCTTTTCACTACAGATAACTACAAACCCTGTTTGCTAAAAACTTTAAGGTAACAATATTTGTATACCATTCGCGTTCATTTAAAAGTAGTTGCCCCATATTTTTCCATCATCATCCTACACATGCTGGCATTTTTTTAAAAGTTGAAACACACAAATTGGATGCATGCAAAGTTATTAGAGGAGACCAAAAAAGAATCAAAGTCTTCTTATCAATTGATAACTGAACAAAGGCCTCCAAGTATTAAAATGAGAATGGTAAACAAAATTTAAGCACAGGGAAATACCAGATGCTATCTGCTTCATCAGCTTTACAAAAGTTAGCACGGGAATCATCTTGTCTGTCTCCACATGAATCAGAATCTACCCTCTTCTGCCAAATGGCAGTTTCACCCTTCTCAGACTTCTTCTCCCAGCAAAGAAGTTTAGCAGCTTCTTCAATCTGTCTCTGTTCCTCCTGAAGATCCTCTTTGGGACGCTGCCATGCTTGGTAATTATTCTTCCAATTGATTGGTGGACCAGAAAGCACCCAATAACCCCCAGGCCTAAGAACTCGGTCAACTTCCTTGAGATATTTTCCATCTGTACATAACAAATAGAAAAATTAATGCTAGAAATGACTACTGATTATTAGATATCAACAATTCATACCATGTAGTAGTATTCTGAGTTTGGTGTATCTAATGCTTACCATTTATTCCCCATGGAATCAAGCAACGAGAACAATGAGCCATGTCAAAGGCTCTGGATGGATAGGGCAGCTTTATTGTACCCAGAACACCAATAACTGCAGGTACACCCCTCTCAAGAGCAAATTGGACTTGTGCCTCATGGGAATCTCTTGGCGCAAACGACATGGCAAGAACATTTCTACTCAACAAGTATGCACCCCAACTGGCAACCTACGAAAAATATACCATTGTTACATCATATGGATCACACAAATAGAAGAAAATGTCAAATTTTCTCCCAGATAAGAGAAAGGGAAAACATAAAAGAATGGAATCAAGGCTAAAGATACAGTGAACTGGGGGGAACACAACATACCCCACAACCAGTGTCCAGTGCAGTTCTTACTGTCCCATTCTTTATTGGTATCACAGCAGCAAGCTGATCAATATATTTATCAGCCCCTTGAGGAAACTGCGTTCCCCCACCAGGGAATCGAAATACATTACCCTCATATTGGATCCAGTTCTGAACAGCCTTCTCAACCGTCAAGCTCTTATATGGTGCATTGGCATATGGTACATAGTCACGGCTCTTTGGCCAGGGGAATGGAGTTACATACCCCTTCGGTGCTGGAATAAGGCAATGTAACTTTTCTTCCTCAGGAGGGCAATGCCTCTCTCGATAATTCATATCTTCCCTTGGGAATGTCATTGCACGCTTCTGATCTTGGCACGGGGTGTAATCAGTGTAACGATGATGACACGGTTCGAAAACTTTGGGCTTCGATTCAGATTCATCGATATTTCCAACTTCACCAGCATGGTGGGAATCAAAACTTAGGCTCGGAATAATATTGCAGTCAGCCTCATTCTTAGTGATCGCTAAAGCGATACCATCGCCCTTTCCAAAACCACTTCTCTGCCAAGCACCCAAAATATAGAAAAAACAGCACAGACCAGCTACAATAAAAATTTGCACCGAGCTCCTAGTCCGACCGTCTTTCAGAGCCATTTAGCGCCTGAAATAATTCCCACACTAATTCATTACCACAGACAACGAAATCTGAAAAGTGCAAATCCACTACAGCAACACCCCAGACACACATACACATACACCCCACCACAAACCTGTCTAATTACGATTTACGTGCATCGTTAAGTCAAAAACCCCAAAACCCACATTAGATTCGCTTAACTTAACATCATCTATACAATTACAAGCAAAATCAGTCCATAGATCCAGATGGGTTCAAATTCTGTGATTAATCAAGAATATAAAGACTACCCAATTAACCAAGCTACTACAGCATTAAGTATAATTAAATGATCCAAATGCATCCATTACTAACTAATTAAGCATCCTTTTAAATCAAGAAAATACTCTTTAATCACTATAAAAGCACAAAACTTGCATACTGGTTAATGCTCTGTTTGTTTAAAAAGAGCTAGTGAGAGAAGCTTGGAGCTTTAAAAGTTAAAACTCCAGAGTTTCTTGTTTCCCAAACGAGACCAACAAAGATTAGAGCTTTCACTGTGCTGAGTTCAAATTCAATTTATCAAAGACCAAGGATCAAACTCTAATTAACCCAGAAAACGCTAATTAAGCAGCTGATTAAACACAGATTACTAAAATTTGCACAAGAAAAAAAGGGGGTGCGAATGCTCAGATCGCTTACCAATTACATTAAAGGAAAAAGCAAGCAGAGGGTCGAGATCTATCCGCCGTATCAGAGAAAAAAGGGAAAATCTTTCTCTCTTTTTTCTGTGTGAATGATGGGGGAGAGAATATGATATTATGATGTAGAGAGAGAGAGAGAGAGAGAGAGAGAGAGAGTGGTGATGGAGGATTCAGCGCTGAGATAGTAATGGCGGTGGAGACTTGTCGCAAAGCCTCTGAAAAATCTCAAAAAGCTTTAAAATCTGGTGACGGAGGGCGATGAGATCCTTTTCTGAATTGTGGTGGCATTCATATGGGGAACTGGATTTTACATTTTTTTTTTTAATTTGGGTAAACTTTTATTAAACCTTTGATTAAGAAATGTTTGGAGCTTGACGGTGCTTGCTCACATCATGTGTCGGGGGGACCCACGCGCCAATTAAGGGGCGATTCCAATACCGACGGTGAAGAGACAGTTGGCAAGTTATTGGATTGGGTGGGTCTCCATGGTTTTTGGTCGTTGGATGGAGTGGAAACTCTGGTACGTAGATGCGGAATTTTTATATAAAAACAAATTTTAATCGTCAACTTTTCTATAAAAAAAAAAAAAAAACGAAAAATTATTGAACTTTCGAAAAAAAATTCTTTATGTCACGTAGTATTAAATGTTACGAGTATTAGATGATCTGAATTTATTTGAATAATTTCTTTTATTGTATTCCTTAATTTCAGATCATTTGATACTACGTAGCACCGAATTGAAGTGCCATCCTAACTTTCTGGGTATAAAGTTAAAAATCAAAATGATTATGACAAAGAGAGCAAAGACTGTGACTTATTGGCATGACATTATCTATTCTAAAACTAGGGAGGGATTGACTGTTCATTGGGCTACAGTCAATTGTTTGCCCCTCGATTTCATCTTATTTACACAAAAACCATGAGCATTGGGCTGGGTTTGAAGGATATTATTTGAACTGATAAGGGTGATTTTGTCCGGATGGTTTAGGACGAATTACCCCTTGATTTCATCTTATTTGCAAGAAACCCATTATTTGTGGACTAGGTTGGAAGGGCAATTTTGTCCTCTGGGTTTTGAGTGAATTAAAGGGTTGCCGTGTAAGGCTTCCACTTACTGTCTTTCATTTATTGTTTCGGGGAAATGAAGCTCTCACAGAGAGCGGAAGAACGGAGAGACAGAGAGACAGACAGAGAGAGAAAGAGAGAGAGAGAGACAGAGAGAGAGAGAGATTTCGAGGGGAAGACAGCGCAGGGAGAGTGGGTGATATCAGAAGTGGGAAAGTGGGTGATATCTTCTCGGTTTTGACTGAGTTCGAGAGTTGTTGTGTGCTGTCCTTCGATGAGGGTTTCGGGGGGATGGAGATTGTGACAGAGAGCGGAGAAATTAAGCTCTCACAGAGAGCGGAAGAAACGGAGAGACAGAGAGACAGACAGAGAGAGAAAGAGAGAGAGAGAGACAGAGAGAGAGAGATGCCGAGGGGAAGACAGCAGGGAGAGGTATGGCTGTTGTCTGCAATTTCATTTGCTGTCCTTCAAGGAGGGTTTCGGGGGATGGACTGTGACAGAGAGCGGAAGAGAGAGAGAGAGAGAGAGAGAGAGAGAGAGAGAGAGAGATGACGATGGAAAGAAAACGAAGAGGAAAGGGGAAGCTACATGCCTGAATTTCGAAAGCCAAGTGCTTTTAAAATTTTTTTTTTTTTCCTATCAGCTTAGATCTGGTTTTTTGTTGTGGATTATTTTCGAATTTTTTAGTGTGTTAGGTCAGATTTTAGTGGAATAATCAGAGATATTTATTTCTTGCATATATATCTGCTTGCAGGTTCGGTTTGTCATTTTGATTTCGTACTCAAATATTTATATTTTATTATTACTTGCATTTATATCTGCTTGCATGTTGTGATTGAGAGGCCAGAATTACTTTACAAATCTTTCTGCACTGTTTGGTTGGTTAGGTAGCATGCTTTTGTCTTTTTTTTAATCGATTTGGGGATTTTCTGCCCCTCTATTTATTCATTTGCTCTCAGTTTTGTTTCTCAGGTTCCTGTGTTTTTCTGTTAACTGTTCAAAGGTCCATTTTTTTCCGTTTTGTAGTTTAAATTTTGTCTATTATTCTGTCTGGCCTACCATTTCAATTCCAATGCTCTTAAATTGTATGCATCTGTGTCTCTGTGTGTGCATATGAGGTTGTGCATCGACTTCTCTGCTGCCTAATTTTAATGCAATTTTTTTTATTTCAATTGTTTCAAGACGAGAAAACTCATTATTCTCTTATTTTTATGGATTGCAGGAAACGTCCTGCTGACTTGGGATTTCAGGTTTCATTTGCTAACCCTAACTTTTTAATGTTGTGAAACAATTACTGTTTGTACGTTCATTTGTTGTGTTGTTGTATTGAATATTTTTGTATTGTTCTACAAAATGTTTTTCATTCCGTCTTTGTTTTTGGACAACAAAGTGATTAATTACGAGTCTTTGTAGATTCATCTGTGTTTCATTTCCCCTGTCTGTCTATCTTTTACCGATTGGTTTTAGATATGTACATGTGTGACTGTTTTGAGAAGGGTATTATGTTGCAGTGTATGTTTTGCATCATTAAACTTTCCTCTACTTTCCCTTTCTTACAGGGTTTTATTGAAAACAAACTTATACATCCCAATGCAAAAGGAGAGAGGAGGCAATGGCTGGCATTGTTGATAACGTGAGTAAATTTGTAAACAGGATTTCTAATAGTTTGCTAGCTGTAGAGTTATTTCTTCGTCTCCCATAAGGTTCAACTTTTTATATACACATTCATGATTTCTCCATTTCTCTTTTCAACTACTGAAGCAAAGAGATAGTGTATGTCTACCAAATTCAGAAAATCAATTATGTTGTACACAACTCTTTTAAATGGTTAATTGTTGTGCTATGTCAAAATAGTTGGAGAGTAGAAGATAGAAAATTTAATCATGTTAGTAATTCATTGTGTTCAATTTTCATGTTTTGCCATTCTTATCCACTTTATTACTTCTTTTGATGCAACCTGAATTATATATATATTTTTAATCTTCATCAGGCACTTCTCTTTGGAAAGAAACATGTTTGGTCTTCAAAACACCATTTAAATGTGAAAGAAGAAGTTCCCCTCACATGGTTAGAGCCGTAGAGGTAAATGATTCTTTTTTCTTTGATCAAGTATTTGGTACTTTACCTTATGTCTAATGGCTTTTGTTGCTGTTTGTTTGTGTTAACTGATATTTTTGAATCTCTGGTAGTATTTTTATACTCTTTTGGAAAGAAATAATTTATTTCATCCTGTGTTTTTTTCTCAAATAAATCCATACTTTGTTAATTGCTAGCTTTTCTTTGCTCACTAAAATAAGCCATCTTAATTAATTAAGGTCTCTTGCTGCTGTTTTTGTGATAATATTACTATCTTTATTTCATTTTCTTCTTTTCATTACACATTGACTTCATGTTGCTTTTTACAATTGGTCCTTACTTGGCTGAGCCATAGTAAATTGTCCATAACTCGCCTATATACTCTCTCGATTTTAATGATTACTCAAATGAAATTTGTGATTAATTTTATTGAATTATTTTTATTTAATTTAATTTGTAATTTTTTAAAAATATGCAGGGGGAGTTCAAAGTCAAGAGGAGGGGCGTAAGCACATATTAATTTTTTGTATCTCAATCTGATTGTTTGATTTTGGGTGAATAGATCATGGGTTGAGTGATGCAGGTGAAGCTTTGTTTTAGGACCATCTTGGAGAAGTATTGTTTGTTGAGCTGCCAGAAAATGGTCACTCAGTCTCTCAAGGGGGCAGCAGCTTTGGATTGCCTTTCCAGAATGTTGAGGTCATTGAAATTAAACTAATTGAACATTATTTGATAATTTTGGCATATGAATTTGAATTGGTATTGATTTATTTTCACAACTTTTGGAATTACGAGATGGGACTACCAAGTCCAGAGGTCGGATGGTCATCTAAGCTGCTGTTAGTTTTGCTCTCCAAATGACTCTCATGAATGCGAACCTTGATCAAACGTACATAATATTTGAGCATATTTGAGCAGATAGTTTATCCAGTAAAGGTTTCCACCTATTTTACTTTATAGATACACTTAACAGTCTTTATAAATAATTGATTTTTATAGAGTCAGTTGAGATGAAACCTGTTCTGCAACAACTTCTTTTGAAGGTTCTTTGAAATTTCTTCAGGTATTTTTGGAAAAAAAGTGTGATATGTCAGCATAGTCATGGTATATGACAATGATAATTTGAAGAACCATTTAAAGTATTTTGGTAATCAGCATACTAAAATTTGAATGTGATATATCCGTTTAGTTTTCTATACACAATGATAATACTCAAGTATAATTTACATCATATATCTTTTAAAGTACATGAAACTATGAAGAAAAAACCCTAATTAATCTGATTATGGGGGTTTTGTTTTATATCAAGATATTTCAGCAGAAGGCAGACTTTGAAGAGTTCACGCTGCATAGAAAGATGATGAAATGCCACCCATTGAATCCATTGTTGCTCCACTGGAGGCGAAGCTTAAGCTTGCTGCAGGAGGTATACTTTTGTTCTACAATATGACCTCTTTAATTTGTTTGTATATGGGAGGTATAGAGTGTTCCATGTGTATTTGGTTTCCATATTGTTTATGGATCTATCAACTCATTTATTACATGAATCAATAATTATAACGAGTTAAATTTTTTTTACATGAGCACAATCAAGTTTACAACTGAATTCATGATAAAATTTATGGACCTGCCATTATGTATACATATGAATCTGCTAATGGTGTTCAGTTTTTAACTTGGTCTTTTATTTTTATTAAGTTGTGGATCAATTTTAGTTGCTAATCATTGTTGGAAAGGTTAATTAGTCCCATTACTTAAAATGGGTGTGCTAAATTGTGGTTATGGTTTCAAACCCGCAGCAGAGCGCGGGTTTCTTTGCTAGTTATCTATTCTAAAACTAGGGAGCAATTGACTGTTCATTGGGCTACAGTCAATTGTTTGCCCCTCGATTTCACGCTATTTACAACAAAAACCATCAGATCTGGGCTGGGTTGGGAAGGTAATTCCCAAAAGTTAGGGGGTAATTGTGTCCGTAGGATTGAGCCGAATTTCACTTTATTTACAAAATTGCCACCGCCTTTTCTTTCCCTCTTTATCTCTCCCTACTCTCTCGATAACCATCCATCAAATCCCCCGTTCTTCCCTTTTTCTCACTCTGTAACCCTAGCACCGTTTCTCTCTCATTTCTCTCAAATTCGAGAGACTTCTCTCTCCATTTCTCTCAACCTAGCCCTAGCGCTGCTCACCCCATTCCTCTTCATCATCTCAGTTAAATCCGTCGAACAATCATCGATGCACCTCCACACGAACCCATATCGAATTTTCCTCCTGCCCACGATGTGTGGGAGCGGCCTGTCTTCAAATCGTGGTGAAACAAATTTTATCGAACTCAGGTAGATTTTATAATAGTTGTATTTGAGTTTTTATTTTCGATTTTTGTTACTTTGGACCAAACCCTAACCGTTCGGGGAGAGAGACGGAAAATGGACGGGTTAAAATTTACAGTGACGGAAAAAATTTATGAGTTTTAACAAAATTTTAAATATTCTTATACATTTTATTGAGGGATATGAGGATCTGATCGATTTCTCTCCGCAGTGGGATTGAAAATCGGGACTTTGTGGTTCTCTCTCTCTCTCTCTCTCTCTCTCTCTCCTATGTGTATGAATTAAGTTCTGCAGTGCGTGTGCAGGTGGGTGCGTTCACTAACTAAGCTTTCAAGGGGAGCCCATCAAGGTTTGCCTGCTGGGGGAATATGGAGACTACGAGTGTATGATTTGGTTATCTTTTATTTTTTATTTAAATTTATCCATATATAATGTGTGTAAATTTATACTAAACAATTGTGATAAGCCAGCATGCCATACGACTTTGAAAGCATTGATTTTTTGTTTAGTTTGGATTTTTGCATTGTGAACAACTATTTCTTAATTTCAAATTTTTTAATTTGTTCAGGCACGAGTACCGCGCGTATTTCGACAAGGTCTTCAAGCTTTACACAAAGCCATGGATCGCAAGACACTCCTCCCTCTGTTCTCTCACGCATCTTCAGCTCTCTCTCTTTCACTCTTGAGGTACCTGCCGCTGTTGCCGATCTGCAGGTAAAGCTTCAATTTCCATATAAAGGTTCCATTTTTCTTTATTTCTGGAATTTGGGTTTTAATTTCAGTAATTTATTTTTATTAAATTTGGTTGTGTGGTTAATAATTTTTCTTCTTAATTTTACTAATATTTTGAGTTTTTTTTTCTTTACAAATTTCGATTAATTTGCATGCAGTTGAATTATTTTAAAATTCCCTGTATATTTATTATTTGTTTCCAATAGCAGGTAATCAGGTAGTATATTTTATGAAAACTCTGATTAATTTTTACATATTCTTCTTTTCTGGTGTGAAGGTTAGGGATAAGCTCGCACCCAAACTCGAGAGTGACCCAACCTGTTTGCTCTGTTTTTGGATTTCGTTTTTAAATTTGATATTTATTTATTTTTAAATTTCTCTTCTAGGAGTTATGGAGGAGTTGGGGAGGAAGAACAGAGTCTTCAGCAACTGAGCTTCAAAGCTACGTCGCTTTTGCCCTCTTAATTTTCATCGAGGAAGACGATGGTCAGTTGGTACTATGTTTTCGAAAAATGATTTTTGAAGAAGTTTTTGAAAAGTTTTGAGATTTTTTAGCTTATGAATTCATATATTTTTAGGAATCAAATGGACCTAAGATTGGTATTTGAAATCCTCAAAATCTTCAGGGCTGTAGAAAAAGATGAGGACATTGAGATTGAGATAGCTGACGTTCTTTATGGTCTTAGACTCTTAGGAAGCAAACCCAAATTGAAAAACTTCGAAGTTTGAAACTAAAGAAAGAAATGGTATTGGTGATGGTTTTATGTTTTTTTTTTTTTTTTTTTTTTTAATTTTTGATACAAGGGATGTTCTGCTTTAAACTAATCTAATCTGCGGTTGCAAGTAGGGTGTTTGAACTCGGGTGCATAGGGATGCGTATCCGCTGTAGCCAATATGACTACGCCTACGTTTGAGTCTAATGATTTTTATCTTTGTCTGTTTGCGTTTGCAGAGTCGAGAAGAAGGTGGAGGCTGAAAGTCAATGGACTCCCACAAGGAGAAAGTTGAAAATCCATTCGTAGTTTTTTTGGCGTGATTTTATCTGAAAGTTCTGGTTGCCTTGAAGGATGGTAAGCCTCTTCACTCTCCTCTTTTTTTCTCTCTAAACTCTTTTTGTGGAATATATTTTGTTTGATTGCAGAGTTTTTGGTTCTTAAAAATCTCCAATTTTTTTTATTTGGTTTCCTCTTGATTATTGTTGCCTAAAACTCTATCAAGGGTTTGCTTTTTTGATTGTGACCTTAAACAGTCGAAGAAGGTTTATTTAATGGCTGAAGAAATTGACGATTGTTTGGTCATCAAATATTTCTCCTCTTTTGTTTGTTTGATTTCTTTCTAATATTCAAATAATTATTGTTGTGTAATCCTGATAGCACTGTTGCTGCAGCTCGAATAGATATGTACCAAAGCATGGGAGATGCTCTTGCGCAGCAGTAAGGTGGCTTTGCAGCTCACAACACCGTATGTTCATATTTTATTCTTGCGTTAGAGCATGCATATATTATCAGTTGGTAGATGTCATAGATCAACCCCTATATTCTAATGTGAAGTAAAAAAAGAAGAAAAAACTCTACTCTAATCAGATGTCTACTGAAAAGAAAACAAATCACATTACAGACCAATACCTTTTTGCAGTCTTCTTGACAACAACAACTTATCCGGGTATCTTCCGCCATAGTTCTCAGAGTTGCCAAGCTTATTAATACTGTATGTTTTCTTACTTCGGAACATAAATTTGTGCCTTAATTATGTTTTCATCCTTTCCTTTCTTGAATTTTCGTACTGTTGGAAACAATTCTCTAGACTTTCCCTTTTCTACAACATAATTTGAGGAATGCAATCCCGTATCAAGTTTCTTAGCCCTATAATCTTATTTGTTTTGCAGTCAAGTTGACAACAACTTTGGTGGGACTACAATTCCAGATTTGTATAGCAACATGTCTAAACTGTTCAAGTTGTAAGTGCTGTTTCTGATTCTGTCTTTTAGTAAGTCTAAAGGTAAAATTGTGTGATCTAAGGACTACAATTTCTATTTATTCATACATCAGATTTAAAGCTCCAACTACGGAGGTGTAAATCCAAAAGATTTGTGATTAATCATAGCAACAACAGAGGGAATCATAGTTTTTGTTGGGAAACTCATTTTTCCAACCACTGTGCAGGGAACATCTCCCGTTTCTATCTGATGTTATATCACATTAGGTGATGGTGATGGTTGTTTGGAACGACAATTGAGAAGTAGCTCTTAATATTTAACACAATGAATCATGTCAAGACTGAATATCTTTGTGTTTTTGTTGTTTCTTTCAGGAGTTTGACGAACTTACAATGGCCTATTCCTGATTTCAGTAGGATTCCAAACCTCAGTTATCCACAGGTTCGAGTTTAATTGTGTAAAAAATGGAGAGATTGATCACCGTCACTCATAGCTGCGTTTCAGGAAACAAGCTCATCTCTTGCCAATTTTGTGTACCCACTTTTTATTCATGATGGTTACTTCTCGCTTGCAACCCAATTTGCTGCTATAAAGTTTTGCGTTTTACATTCTGTTCATGCTTAAACCTCTTCCAACTTTGCAATTCTGTGTAAATCTTGCAGGTCAAGATGGGACACCTATCTGGGCAATGTTGGGATGTCTAGGCTTGGGTGGAGACGTGGACTTATGGAAGTGTTGAAGTAGCTTAGCTCTATCTCAATAGCTCTCATCTGTTCTGTTTAAGCTCATTGGTGCCGACTCTGAGGTTTTTCAAAACTCTCCGTTTTCGAAATCTGAAGCTTAGAATCCCATTCAACCACAAGGAACTAGAATAATTGAAAAAAAAAAAAAAAATGTTTTGGCGTCCAAAAAGAAGCATGTGCAATCCTCTAATTTTATTAATATAAACCAAGTGATGCAAATCCAGTAAAGATGTAAATAAGAGCTATTAGTGGAAAAAATAGTTGTATAATTCCAGGCCTTGAAGAAGGCTACAAAGTATATGAGAATAACGTATCTATATAGTGTTTATGTTTGTTCATTTCTCCCTTATGGTTTTTTATGCCTGTTAACGCTTGAACAATGTTGCAGGTCAATCAAGCAGATAAGATTCAGAAAGAAAACTCCACATCTGTTGCCAGCAATGCTCATGGGGAACCAAAGCCTACAAATCTGAAGCCTTTTAGGTTTAGAACTGATGTATGTGAAACCTGTTGTGACCAATTTCTTTAATAAATATTAATAGCGTTGATGCTTAATATGATATGTTTTGGGTCTTTTTTTTTAGGAAAGAGGGATGTTTAAGGAAGCAACTTCGGAGACAAAAGTGCATGCACCACTGAAGGAGATCGCATTAGTCAGGACTCCAGGGGCAAAGTCAACAAGCAAACATCAGAATGTGATACACGTATACTTGGGAGCTGCAAGTGCTTTGTGTGTGGTTTGAATCTGAACAATTACATCGTGTATCACCATCAAATAGGCAAATTTGTTATGTGTGATGGTATATTTACGCATGACTGAAATGGATTATCTAATTTTATGCAATTTATAATTTTGGGTTTCTCTAATTTTCAGCTTTTTTGTGATTTATTTGATGAAAGTTTCAATCTTCAGGTACATTTTTCATATATGTACTCATCAAATGTCACGATTACTGTTCCTCTGGTTTTTTGGGCTACAAATTAAATTTTGGGGTTGTTTAAATTTCTTTAATGTGGTTCAAGATTAATTGATTTGATGTTCTAAGTTCTTTGTAGGCAAAACATTGGACCAGTTGGTCATATTTAGAAGAGCAAACGGGGATGGAGTTCTTGGTGTTGCATGAAGTTGATGTGCATGAGATGGACGTCCATCCTGTCTCCAATGGAAGAAAATCGATGTCACCATCTTCAGCTTTCCTCATGCAGGCCATTACTCTAGGCTAAGTGAAAAGTACTCGGTCCTTACTGAGTAAGTCACTAATTATTCATTTCAATTAAATGCTGATTAGGATATTATGTGTAAATAGGATTGTAAATATGTTGTACATATAATTTTCAATCCCGCAGCAACGCGCGGGCATCATTGCTAGTTATCTATTCTAAAACTAAGGAGCAATTGACTGTTCATTGGGCTACAGTCAATTGTTTGCCCCTCGATTTCATCTTATTTACAAAAAAACCATGAGAATTGGGCTGGGTTTGAAGGATATTATTTGAACTGATAAGGGTGATTTTGTCCGGAGGGTTTAGGACGAATTACCCCTTTATTTCACCTTATTTGCAAGAAACCCATTATTTGTGGACTAGGTTGGAAGGGCAATTTTGTCCTCTCGGTTTTGAGTGAATTAAGGGGTTGCCGTGTAAGGGTTGCACTTGCTGTCTTTCATTTATGGTTTCGGGGAAATGAAGCTCTCACAGAGAGCGGAAGAAACGGAGAGACAGAGAGACAGACAGAGAGAGATTTCGAGGGGAAGACAGCGCAGGGGAGAGGTATGGCTGATGGATTTCAGAAGTGGGAAAGTGGGTAATATCTTCTCGGTTTTGACTGAGTTCGAGGGTTGTTGTGTGCTGTCCTTCGATGAGGGTTTCGGGGGGATGGAGACTGTGACAGAGAGCGGAAGAAAGAGAGAGAGAGAGAGAGAGAGATGACGATGGAAAGACAGCGAAGGGGAAAGGTATGAGTCGTCGATTTCAGAAGTGGGGATACGGATTATCCGGATCTACCGCTGCATGCCTGGATTTCGAAAGATAAGTGCTTTTTAAATATTTTTTTTTCTATCAGCTTAGAAAGATAAGTGATTTCGAAAGATAAGTGGATTATTTTCGAATTTTTTAGTGTGTTAGGTCAGATTTTGGGGGAATCATCAGAGATATTAATTTCCCTTATTAGTTTGCTTTTCTCTCATTTTGCATATTCATCTCTCTGTCTGCCTGTTTGTTCTCTGTCTTAAGGTCGGTTCTTTTTTTTTTTTTTTTTTTGGGGTTTTTTGTATGGCTTTTTTTTTTTCTTTTTGTTTTCCAGGTTATAGATCTAATGCTCTTTCGTATACCAATCTTGGTTTTGTTTTTCTTGGAAAATTGTTTTTATCTGATTGTGGATTCGTGGGTTTTAATTTCTATGGTTTGTTGCAGGTTGCAAAGCAAGAGGTTCTCACCTCAAGATTCAGTTTAAGGTACTGTTATTATTATTTTTAGTTCTTAGAATTTAATGTTTCGAACTAATATGATGATTTGGTTGTGAAATGTGGGATTTGTGTTCGGCTTCTGTTGCGTATGTGATTTGCTTTAGTTTGGTTTTTGATTGGATAATATTTTGATTTGCTTTAAGAGTTCTGATCTTCCACTATAATTGTGATTTGATTTATGAACTGATATTCACACATTTGAATCTGATGTGCAGACCATCATGAAGATCACCACACCCATGATCATGTTCATGATCCTGGTGTTTCTTCTGTCAGCATAGTTTGTGAAGGGAACTTAGAACTTGAAAAGGTAGGATCTCTGTTTTGTTGTATTTTGCAATATATTTGATAATTTCTTCTGTGTCTTCCATGTGGACCTGTTGCCTTTGAATGAGACAAGTACACATTTGAGGGCCAGTTGCATCCAGAGTCTTTGTCCAGGCATGTATGAAAGAAAACCTGACAAAGAGTACTGATTTCGTTTTTATTTTTCCAGGCTAACATATGGCTTGGTACACTGTTGTTGAAACGAAGTGAGGACATATATCGTATGAAAGGTCTTCTATCAGTTCAAGGAATGAAAAAGAGATTTGTCTTCCAGGTGAGAAACTTGCTGCTAATGGACATTGACATCTTTTTTATGTTAATGGATTTTTGGATCGTGTCTTTACTTTCTGATAGAGAAGTTTGATTTTAGCTTATTTGTTTCTACGGATTAATGCATTCAAAATATTATTTTGTATGATTTTTTACATACGTTTGTGGATGAAGGGTTTAGGTGCTCTGAAAATGCCCACCCTTATTTTTTTTACACCAAGTGTATATGGCAACCCAGGCATTCCAACTTGCTCAGGTACTTCAATCTTTTCAGTTTTTGGTAATTTTTGCCCCTGTTTGGTTGCTGGGAAGGAGAGGGAAAATAAGGGAAATCATCAAAGTTGATACATATCATTTGTTTTTAGTCACATTGATTTTTATTGTGAGAAATTATGTGATTATTTTTTTATAATTACCTGTGGAATTGAATAGTATTAGCTAAAGCTCTCCCACTGCTCAGTTGTATCTATATTAAGAAATTGCTGAGTAGATGGACTACAAAACTCAAATTCCCTCCTTCTGTATATTTGCAGTTGCTTTTCCGTGTAAATCTTCTCTTGCAAAGAAATTCAAAGGCCTCTAATTGTATTCATGGACTATAACTGTAATTATACAATGTACATTATTATTTAAATATAAAAAGGTATAATTTATATATAGTCAATTTAGACTCATTAAAATATACAATCTTTAAATACAAAAGTAAATTTGAAAGAAGTTGAAGTAATATATGAATGCTATGTGATTTATTACGTTCAAAATTGAAATTGGAATCATGCTGTTCTTTGATATGAATGAAGTGTGGTGTTCTCCTTCAAAAAGTTGAAATTAGGTCTCTCCATCCCCTTAATTTCATTTTCTATTAGCAAAGAACTGGGATACCAATGTACTTATGTGTATTGTTTCAATTTCTATGTTTGCTAATCTTTTCCCAGGGAAATACTTCATTTAAGGAAAAGCCTGAAATAATGTTGTCAAGTGCTATACTGAAGCTATCAGATTGAACATGATGTGTGCAACTTAGATTGCAACCATGCAATTGCTTACTTGGAGGTAATAGTCATTCTATTGCATGCATATCTTTAGAATCTTTGTTTTTTATAACTATTGGTGAAAGCACTGCAGACCAAATCATGTTATATATGCTTATTGTAAACAGTTATGTTTGTAAATTTGAAGCCCAAATTAACATAATTTTCTCCCCTGTTTGACCACGCATTTATGAATGTTGGATTAAAATGTGTTTATTTTTGGGAAGAAATGAGACGGTTGGTTTGAGTTTTAGAAGCCTTTGTTTTTCTGCCTTTTATGGCAATGAAAAAAAAGGGGGAAAACATTGGTCTTAATTGTATTTTCCAATTCTTTACGCTGTTAGTAGTTAAAATTACGGGAATGGCTATTAATATAATTTTTGGTGTATTTCAAGTTTCTAATTCACAAACTGAGTGAAGGTCACAATAAGTATTAGTCACTATGAGAGTGTTGGACTATCCTCATTCTGGAACCAGGTTTAAGAGGCCCCTGACAATGACGTTGAAACGGGTATATAACCCTCTTCTTTTTGTCTTTTAGTCTTTCGCTTACTCGAGCATATGCTGTCATTTAAAATTAGTGGTCTGGTTAATGTACCTGCAGTATCAGTAGTTCCTCTCTTTTTAATGGAGTGATTCCCTTTCTTGGTCATGTAAAATCTTGGTGTCTGTAAATATACACATCACATGACTTTTAACACAAGTCTTGCTTCTATCATTTGATGTTACAGTGGGTAAGCTCTGAATTTAATGAATTGTTCAACTTTGAATTTAATGAATTGTGGTGTTTTATCTTCTGAATTTCTAACCTATTAATATTGGAAGACCTAAAAGATTATTCCAATGTATTGTTTCTGGCTTTATTCAAATTAGTAGTGAAATGATGGTATTTATAAATTTTAATTTTTTTTTCTATGATTTACATGTTGATGCAGATTTATTCTCTACGATTCTCTGGTTAGGGTAAGCATTTTGGTGAGCTTTGATTTTGTGAGGGTAAGCTCTTAATCTTTCCTCTATCGTTTTGTAGTTCATCCTATTGTTTTAATTTAGAGCTATTTTAATGCTTTTATGTTTGTTGTTCCGTGCTGGGAAATTGGAAAGCTCTGGAAACAATATAGTTCTTGAGCTAATGTGAAGATTTTGGGTTGAACATTGTGCTATGAAGATATTGGGTTTAATATTTGATTCCGTTTTTCATTTTGCACTTACAAAAACAGAGGATTGTGGTTAATTATTGTGATGTGAAGCTTCTATTTGATATCGACTTAATGAGTAGCGATGTAAATTAAACTACGTATTTTATGGAACAATTCACATATCTCTTGCTTTTTCTTTCATTTGGAGATAATTATGTAAATGTGTGGTTTTGTGAGCGTTACTCATGTAAAACATGCGATCTCTAAATTGTTACATTTAAGAATGCGATTATATCGCTGTAGCATTTTCAGTTAAATTTTCCATGAATATTATTCATGATTTGAAAACCCGCAGCAAAGCGCGGGCAGTCCTGCTAGTGTCTCCTAACATAGACCACTCTCATACGGTGTTACATCCTTCAAAGTTCGATTAAATGCCACTTACGAGCAGTAATCCTATATAGTTAAAGTCCATTTCAATAATTATAACTTTCATAAAGAAAATTCTCCATAATTTATGTACCATATTTAGACGTTTAAACGTATTTGAAAGTGTTTTTGAAATGATTAAAAACGTTTTTGGTAAAAATACTTTTAAACCAATTCTTAGTAAAAATGCAATTGAATCCTGAAAAAATACTTAAAATATTTCGTGCAAAAAGCACATAACTGATGTCTTTTACATGAAGCACTTCAAGTGCGTTTAGAACTCAAAATATTTTCTCTTAAAACACTTTCAGTTAATCTAAAAACACTTCTACACGATTTCTTGCTTTTATGCTGTCTAACTAACTAATGAGGATAGACCAAAATAAAGGATTATCACTGCGCATTCCTTAAAGCTGAGATCTGTTTAGTGATCGACCATCTTAACGGATAGACCATCTCAACGTTGAGATCAATATCACTTTAAAAAAATGAATTGTTATTAGCACTTCAAAAATCTCATTCTACATTCTAAACTTTCTATATTAGAAAAGAAAAATACACTTGTGAGGAGTGTAGAATAAAATTTTTGAAGTGCCAATAACACTTCTCATAAAATATTGTCATTTATTATTAAGAAACACTATTAAGTGTATCGTATACAATCAAGTCGTGAGAGGATTAGAATAATGAAGTTGGAAACAATATTATGAAAGTTTGGTTTAGGATCAATAAAAGATGTTACAATAAGTTGCATTTGGAAAAAGAAAAGAGTAAATTTTACGATTCCTCAACCTTAACTCAATTGAAGCAATAATTTCTTAGCGAAAAATTCCTTACCATTGGTCCCTCAACGAAAAATCCATTATCATTGATCATTCAACTCATCAAAAAGTACAACTATGGTATTTTTCGTCAACTTCATTATAAATTATGTTAAAATGCGTTACGTGTCATGCACGTAAGGCTAAATCAAGGGGAAAATATGGAAAATCAAATAAGAAAATTTGTATAAATGGTCCCCTCAACTTTAATCAAACTGGAGAAATGGTTCCTTTTAATCCAATTGGAGCATTGGTCCCTCAACTCTAATCCAACTGTAGCAATAACCTTTCCAACATAACTCATTTTGATAGCATTCTGACATAGCTAACAACAAAGACCATAGCTACACGTTTTGATGAGTTGATCGACCAATAGTAATGAATTTTTAGCTAAGAGATTATTACTTCAGTTTGATTAAAATTAAAAAACCATTGCTCCAATTTACTCTGGAGACAATAATGGCAAAGCAAGCAAGAGAAAATATGTCTTCTAAATAAGATCACCGACGTGATGTTTGCATGTCGGCTTTGTCCTAAAGCCCACGATGGAGGAGTCCATCAATAGTGTAGCCAAACGGCCCAAGCAATTTGCTCACACTTCATGGTTCATATAGGGAGCTCATTGTAAATTTAGAAATATCACAGGGTAACAAGTAATATTACGGAAACCTCAGGCCAGCCTTATCCCTCTGGGCTCTGCGCAACGGTCGTAAGTCTCGCTACTCAGCAATTTTGCATGCTCAAAAGTTCGAATACAATATCAAAACCAGCAATGGTGTACACGCTGTTCACATCTGTAGCTCAATCTTCTTTCTCCAGCTTCTCAGACTCAACCAATCTAACTTCTTCCAGAGCCCAAATTCCCTCCCTTTTTCTCGACGGCCGCAGAAGCTTCACCGCCGCCTTCTCGCCGCGCCGACCAACCCAGCTTTCAAGGCTCAGAAACGTCAGAAATCCGCCGTGCATTTGCTTTTTCAGCGGCGGAGGAAAGCCCAAGGGCGATTTCCAAGAAAAGGTACTCGCTTTCAGCTTTAACCGAAAGAACCCGGATAAAAAAACAGTGTGTTTAACTTTTAAAGTAATCATATTTTGGTGAAATTATCAGGAAAATGAGTCGCAGTGGCGGATTTTGAAGCGGTGGGATGTGCCCTGGGAATGGCAAACGGCGTCGTTAACATCGCTTGCTTGTGGACTGAGGTGGGTTTAGTGTTTAATTTACTTATTAATGTTAAGATAATTGTGCTTAATTCAATACTGGATTATATATAAGAAGAAAGATTAATTTTTGTCCCAGGCAGTTTTGTTTTGACAGGACTGGTAGAGGCAGCAGCTATACCGTATTTAGGAATTCGAATTCCGGAATTGAGTCTGGATGAGAAGGCAGAGATACTGTTTCTTGATCAAGGGTAATGCGTAATCACATTGTAATTATACTTGTAGGAGCTGTTTTGCAGTTTTTTCTTTTAACTGTGCTTAGCGAATTTCGACATGGTCTAATTGGTTTGGTTTTTGTTTCGCTAGTTTTACAACTGCAGCTGTACTTGCTATTCTATATGCTGTTGCCAGCACTTACCAACCACTGCCTGAAGATGTTTATCGCTACGGTACTGATTTTTCCAACTTATTTCTTTACCCTAGAACGAAAACACAAACACAAACACACTCGTAAAGTTTCTTTTCGTTGGATGATCGTAAAGTTCCTTTTTGTTGGTAATTGTCTCAATGAGATAACTCTTGTTGTAGCTCATATCTCGAATGTGTGAATTGTTGAATTGCAGTGAATGGTAATCTGTATTTCTTCCATTAACATATAATTGTGAAATTTAGATTTAAAAGCTCATCATTGCCAGATTCTAGCCTATATCTTGATGGTGGCCAATTGAGTTAATTAGCTGTTGCTTTTCAGATTTAAGGGAACCTTTCAATCTACAGAAGGGATGGCTATTGTGGGCAGGGATTGGTATTGTTGGTGCCATAGCTGCTATTGCAGTGACAGGGGCTGCATTGTCCTTGTTGAGGGGGGAGAGCCCAGAACGAGAGGTTTGAATTATTCAAATTTATCTTATTATCTCTTTATCTCATTATAGGATGCAATGGACACCGGGATTAAGTTAATACGGAGATTGTCTATCAATCTCACCATGTAAGGGATTGTGTTTTTTTATTATATGTTTTGTTCATTTTAACATGATTTCAGAAGGACGCTCTAGTTAGCTTGCTTCCACTGATTGGATCGTCCGGTATTAGGTACTAAATAAGGTCTTTTCTTTTTCACTACTGGAACTTGAGGATTAAGCAAGTTGATTAAGCTGTTGTTTATGTCGGTTGCAGCACTGCTTGCTTGCTAGGCATCACTGGAGTTTTGGCCCCAATTCTTGAAGAAACTGTGTTTCGCGGGTTTTTTATGGTATCCATGACCAAGTGGTATGTTTCCCTTTTTTTCTCTGTTTAATGGAGTTGCATAATATGCCTAAAATTATTTATTATTTCTATCTAAGTTTCTCTAAACATGCACAGTTCTTCCCCTAAGCTTGCCTACAATTGTTTAACTAGGAAGCTGCGATCCAGACAATGTTATTTGGTTCACTCCTAAAACTGCTTTTCTGAATTAATCAACCAGAATTGGATATTTCTACTAACAAGAGTGAAGCTGGAATAAGTGTAGAGGCTAAGAAATATATGGTAGAAGAAACTGCTTTTGAGGCACTTATGTAGGAGAATGGTAGAATCATACAAATTTTTTACATAAGGTGTCGGGGAGTTGGCTGAGCATTGTTTTAAAATGTTTTGGTTTCCCTTGTTTTAGTATAGTTGCTGTTCGTTCTTGAGTATCTTGTTACCGTTGCAAATTTGTTTTGCAGGGTACCTACACCAGTGGCTATTGTAATAAGTGCAGCTGTATTTGCACTTGCACATCTCACTCCGGGAGAGTTTCCCCAGCTTTTTGTGCTAGGTAACACGTCTACCAAAGAAATCAAATCAAAATCGTGCATCACCTCCAACGCACATTAATTGTGCTTTAGGTTTCACTGAACACATTTTATCTCATCTACTTATGGTCTGTATAGGCACTGCTCTGGGATTGTCATATGCTCAAACTCGCAACCTTGTAACCCCCATCACAATACATGCTCTCTGGAACTCAGGAGTGATCTTGCTTCTGACCTTCCTTCAGGTAAACATGACTTCTGAGTATCTAAGTTATGATTATAATTGAGTACTCCGAATCCCAAAGCTGAAGAGCAAGCATCGAGTACTCTCTCATTGCTAAAACCAATCTTTCTTCTTGTTTATGCGACAGCTACAAGGGTACGATATCAAGGAACTGTTGCAGACAACCTGATAGGATAGTAGTTGAGTATCTTTTACGTTGATGGTAATCGACACAGAGCAACGGGTGCATAAAATTACAAGACGGCCTGCAAGGCGTGCTTAAAAGTAGCCAAAAATCAGGATATCTAATCTTTTGGTGGTTGTTTCATATCACTAGGCATAACTTAATATGTATTAGAGGCATCAAACCTAATTTCGACACTAACAGTGGAGACACAGAACGTGCAAACAATGTATTGTGGCATCGCTTTCCTGTACCGTATAGTTACTTTTGTTTGAGAGTGGGGATCCCAGGAATCTTCAAATCATATTCGTTTATCATATATCGTGCGGTCAGAAATCATTGTAATTTTTTTTATTTAAAATTGAATATAAACAATACCTGATAAAAATTGATCGCACGATATACGAACGGATGTGATTGAAGGATTTCCAAGATCCTCACAAAGAGGATCCAGCAAAGAGGATCCAGCGAGGATCCTCTCTCTTTGTTTGACTAAGTTCTCTTTTTTGGTTTGGTTGTTGAAAAAGTTCCAAGGAAGAAGTACAAACAAGAGAGAACATAAAGAAAATATTATGATATAAGCAGTATTGTTTTATTCCAAGATGTTATTGGCCCCTGTTTCTTACTTGTTAAGTGGCTTAACATTACTCGATAGAGAAAGGTTGTGCAAGAGTCGTGGGTACATTGGCTAAAGCAGATGTGTTCATCGTATATATTCGAATTTGAATCTCTTTCCTCTCCGTTTATATTAGTTTAAGTAGAGTATCATATCAATTCCAAACGGAATGTAAGATGCTTCGTCATGAATTCCGGTTTAACTACTTATTTCCTCTTAACGAAGTAAGAGGGTCGATTCACCTTCACCAGTTTACAAAGTGACACGGGTTAATGGAATTTAGGCAAAGATTAGAATTTAAGTATTGTAATTATGAGATACACAAATTTTTGTACAAATGATATTAAACGAGGAGGATTCAAACACAAAATATCGAGAGCAAGGATTAAACTCTTTAACCATTTCAGCTATAAGTTTCATTGTGATTCATTTATTAGGAATATTAGGCAGCAAATTGTCGCAAGTGAGTGCGGGTGGCCGGTGGCCCTTTGCAAATTTACATGGTTGAGTTAATGAATGAGTGAAATCGAAGGGTTATTAATGTTTCACGTAGAAAGAGGTGAATTATGTATAGATGCTTGAGCTTGAAGAGTTTGACCCTTTTTAAAAAACTTTGGTTGCACGCTTGGGGAAGTAAATTCTATGCCAATCAACAGACAAAAAGGGTTCCAACCGAGGGTAAGAAATTTGGGGAGTTTCACTGACTTTCGAGTCCCCAAGTTTGGCATTTGACTCAGTGAAAACCCTATTTTTTCACCATTAAATACTTAATTACTACAGTACTTGCTAGCTAGTTGTTGAGAGATTTTTTTCAATGTATCAGGAACATGGCTTAATATACCAAATGTAAACACAACACACTTAATATATTCGACCGTACTCCTGGCACACTGAAAAGTTCTTCAGTTGCTATCCGACCAGCACAGCACAGTAGACCTTGTTTGTAAGCAAACTCAAGTGCTGTATGACAATTTGGACTTTGAAACCAATCAATTAGTTTAATCAACAAAATGGAGAGACGATTTCAAACTGTAATTTAACTTTTCATTGTTGTTGAAAGTTGAAAGCTTTTTGGTTTGACAAAAGGCAAGGAAGTGAGGAATCCCATACTTGGTTTTTCCAAAGTCTACAAAATCAGAGAAACTTTAACTAATCTTAAAAGACTTGGATGTACCTAAAAACCCCATAGCCCTCTTTCCCCACCTATTTATGACACAACAAGCAATCATAAGGTACGATTTACATGAAATACTTTGCAAGTTAATAATATTTTTGCTCAATACTTTCAAGTGATGGTGATGCTCACTGTCATATTTATCATCGTTAGATAAGTTTAAATTTTAAGATTAGATGAGTTTAAATTTTGAGATATGTATCCTGGTCTAGTGACACTTAGTTTCGACTTTGTTGATGAAGTTCTTGGGTTTGCATCGGCATCAGTTGCTGAATTAAATATAAAAAAAAAAAAGACATTGTGAAAATGATAAAGCACACAAATATAATAAACAAGTTGGCAAGTTACACTAATAACATAACTTGAATGTGACACATATATATTTTTTTTCAGTCTTTCATCATATACAGTAATAAAAAATAACAAAAAATTGTTTAGCCAGTCGTCCAGTATCTTGTAAGCTTTGTGTTACATTTAAAGTCCAAAAAATCTTGGGTTCAATTGGCATCATAAATCATCGAAAATAACAAACGTTTAACCCTAAAACCAAGTATTTTTCATCGTGTATAAATTATAATCATGCTACATAGTGACAAAAACCTCCACAAGCATTACTGCACAGAAATTTGGAAAATAAAAAATAGAGAGTAACACGGGCGCACAGTTGTATATATTAACCATCAACAAAATCATTGAGGATTAGCTTTTCCTACCGCCCGTAAAAATTATATAATTAACTTGAAATTTCCAGATAAGATGAGTGAATACTAATTAATTAACTTAATTAAGCCTCTGACTCTGAGTTTCTAAAAGATAGGTGGATTCCCTGAAAGGTCAAACACATAATTTCAGCATATCTACATGTAAAACGTAACTTGTATTCTATTCAGGGTGGGCAGGTGGTCCATATTAGCTAGATTTGGAGGGTAATAGCCAGCTGATTAACCTGCAGATGAGTGAGGTAATGACAAATTCTTAAACCTCTTCAACCTGACAAAGTCAGTGGAATAGAAGCTCTGGGAATGGAATAGAAACGGGATTTCGGATTTTGAGAAACTATTATCTCGTATAATAATCGGATCTAATAAGTCCTCTCATAGGAATCCAAATGGTAAAATATTGATATTGTTTGAGCTTTGTCTTGGAAGTTGGCCCCCGTCCACGTTTCCAAACACCAATTCAAACATCTCAAATTTAAATACTGGTACTTGCTTGGAAGTATGCTTTGTCCTGATTTGTAGTGGATACACCAAAACTTAGTTAATGACTATAAACAATATTTGTAGATGAATTAGTGAAGAAACACTAGCACTTGCTTAGAAGTTTGCTCTGGCAAGTTCGAATCATTCTTCTAATAGTTTAGATGATGATCAGGGTTAATTAAGTTCTTTAAAACAATGTGCTCTACGTCTGCACTCAGGTACAAATTCTCATTCACATAATTTAGAAGAATTAATGAAGAAATTTTTTGCATTACAAAATTTATATAGTTGAGAAATAATTAATAAAAAATGGATTCATAATCCCTATAAGCTGGTGGTGATAGATGGTGGGTTTCCTTGAGATTCCACTACTTGGAGTAATACAAAACCCCAAATTGGGTTCATTAAGGTCAAATTGAGAAATCTCTTCTTGTGGAAATCTATTTTCTTGACTTCAGCTTTAATTTTTTCTTGGTAGCTGTAATCTTAACTTGATTTTTTATTTCAATATTTAAGAGCTCCCTTATAATTTAATTTCAATCTGTACTATTGTGACTCTGTGTAGTAGCCAACGTGATCCTCGCAAAACACACACACACTCATATATATTAAGTCACCAGAAAAGGCGGCTGATCCTTCGGAGGCTCACCCCTTCTCAGGAAGCATATATTTTCCCTACAAATTAAGTCCAAATCCTCACCACCATCTTAAACTTGTTGCTTTCACTCCACCTCTTCACTTCTTCTTCGTTCTCGTTCTGTGTGCTTATGTTTTCTAGCTCCAGCTAGCTAGGGTTTGCTTCTTACTGCAGTTTCAGGTGTTAAAAGAGAGTACTGTGATTAATATTAACATTAATTTCTTCAGTTTCTCACTGTTGGGTAGTGATTAAGGTTTTCACTTATGTTGTTCCTTTAAAGAGTTACTGAGAACCAGGATATACATCTACCAGTACTTTTGGGTTTTGTAGAAAAAATGGATGAGAGAAGTGATAATATCGGGGGAGAAAAAATGGATGAAGTGATGCTTCCAGGGTTTCGTTTTCATCCAACTGATGAGGAGCTGGTAGGGTTTTATCTCAAGAGGAAGGTTCAGCAGAGGCCTCTGTCTATAGAGCTCATCAAGCAAGTTGACATCTATAAATTTGACCCCTGGGATCTTCCAAGTAATTTTTCAAAACTTAATCTTACATATTCATGCGTGACTAAAAAACTTCCATTTCTGAGTAATATATCGATCTCTGAGTTTCTTTCATTCAAAATATATATAGTTGCTTTTTCTCTCTTATGTGTTCTTTGATATATGCCGACTAAGTATGTTTTTAATTACTACTATTACATTGAAGTTTTGAGCCTAAGATCTCCATATTATATGTGTGTGTGTGTGTGTATTCTGTGTTTGAAGGTTAGGGTTTCACTTCATAAATTGTTCAGAATATACAAGGGCTTTAGTTGCATATATTTTGAACAGCTTAGCTATAAATCTTTAATTAATTTTTTGGATGATTTGTGTAGAGTTGGCAGCTTCTGGGGAGAAGGAATGGTATTTCTACTGTCCAAGGGATAGAAAATATAGGAACAGCACAAGGCCAAACCGGGTTACCGGAGCCGGTTTCTGGAAAGCTACGGGAACCGACCGGCCCATCTACTCATCCGAAGGTGCGTGTAGTTCCTCCAAGTGCATTGGGTTGAAGAAGTCACTTGTTTTCTACAAAGGTAGAGCTGCCAAGGGGGTGAAAACTGACTGGATGATGCATGAGTTTCGCTTACCTTCTCTCACAGATTCACTCCCACCAAAGAGATCATCATCGTTCATGGACAAAACCATTCCTGCAAATGTATGTTAAGAAAAACTATTTTTCTACATGTGCATATAATGCATGATTTTTAGTAAATATCTAATTGTTATGTTGTTAGACTGTCAATTTGCCACGTGTTAGGCTAGTTGACAAAAACAATGCTTGCACACACACACACACGTATTACAGCTGGACTAATTAAAATGTACTATTGTTGCAGGATTCATGGGCAATATGCAGGATATTCAAGAAAACAAATTCAAGTAATGCTCACCAAAGAGCCCTTTCTCATCACTCTTGGGTGTCTGCCTTGCCTGAAACAAACACATTTGGTGATCATATGCTAGGCTCCAAAGGTGCACACAATGCTACTCATCATCATCATGAGTTTAGTTCAGAGAGCATGTCAATACTGACATCGAAAACCAACTTCCCCAACAACAATGACATACAAATGTCATCCACAACAAGCAATATATCCCCTCTAGATATTTATTCCAACTCCTACAAACCCATAAACCCCTTGATGATGGGTTGCAATGTCAAACTACCCTATCAGCACCTTCCCATTTCCTCCAATTTTTCCAATGGATCGTCAGACTACTTTTCTAATCCTAGCTTCACATTTTCAACAGCTCAAGAAACTTCATCCGGACCAGCGGCAAAATGCACGGTGGATCTGTCCTCCTTGTTGTTAAACATGTCATCCTCGATGCTCGGAGATTACAATGGCAGCAACAACGTCAAGGGCGCCTCTGCAGAAAGTACTAATTTTGACTTTAGTACTACTAATGGAGGCTTTTCATCGATGGCATTGCCACATCATCATGAGGTCATGCAAGGAAATAACAATAACCTTGGCAATGGCCATGACAGTATAACTGGGTTGATTAAGAACATTCAAAATGTGAACTCGAACGTGACAGAAGAAAGAGATGATCAACAGTGGGAGACTAGTGGGAGATCAAATATTGGGTTTCCATTGATGAGTAGTTTGCCTTTGCCTATGAATGTGGGAGGAGGGGATGCATGGAAGTCAAGTTTGACGTGGGAGTCTTCTCCATGTCCGAGTGAAATGTCCACAACCAGATGCTACACTTAAACTTGTCACATAATTAGAAACATTGCTTAATCACTAATGTTTCTTAGCTTTTTAGTTTTTGCTAGCTATAGGCTATAGCTCATCAATTAATTAAGTTCGTGTTTGTAGAATTCTTTTTGCTAATTAAACTCCAAAGCGTATGATTAAGGAATTCGAATGCTGATTAGGTTTGAAACGTTTGAGGTCCTCTATCAAATTGCAGATCGTCAATAACTCAATATTAATGCTCACTCACAAACACATGTATGACAAGGGCACGCACGCATTCACAAACTTTGTGACAAGAAATATCAAATTAACTAAGTAAAGTCCTCGGATTCGAGAGACCTAAAATACATTAATCAACATGTTTTATTTTTGTGTTCAAAACAAAAATGTGGATGCATGTTGGATAAATGCTTTATATTATACTAAGCATTGGATCGTATCCTTCATGCTTCAAGCATGATACATAGGATTTGCAATGATCACAATTAGGTGAGACCGTGAGAATATCACTTGCTTAGAGTAAATATATTAATGGCAAAGCTTCGGTTTTGTCACTTAGTACTACATTGTAGTCAATTTTTTTTTTTACTTGTAAATAAGAGATCTTAATTTTGAATCACGCGACTGGCGAGTTTGATTCTAATTTATTCTTCACCCACAAAGAAAAAAACCATCTGTTTTTACTGCTCTTTCATCATTACCCTTTTTTTTTTTTTTTTGGCAAACAGAACTAGATTAACCAGGCACAAGAGGCCCCAAAAGAACAACGAAAGCCAAAACACCGGCAATCAACCAAGAACAAACAGGAAGTACAGGGGTTAGAAGACCCGACGCTCAAAGCAAGGCTCAAAGTGTCCCCCCTTACACCTCCCACACAAAATTAAGGCAGACAAGGTAAACCATCCTTATTTAAAACATGCACAAGTGAAGATGGGGGCCGATCAACCCAAGACACATCACACATCTCCACACATCTGCACGACGCCAAATGGTCAGCCACCAAATTAGCTAATCTTATGATCCAAGACTAGCGACAGACATGAAAGGCTTCCCCAAGCTTCATACACTTTGGTAAAATAGGAAAAGCCTCCCACCTGCCCTCAGAGATTGAGCCCTTCAAACAGGATATAGTTGCATGAGAATCCGATTCAACTACCACATGAGTAAGACCCAAAGAGATACCTAGCTCACACCCACCCTGCACCGCCAACGCTTCCGCAGTAGCCACGCAAGTCGCACGAAGCTTTGTTCTACGAGCTGCAAGAAAATTCCCCAAAAAATCCCGCGCCACTGCCCCTACATATCTAGTGCCCGTAGCAACATCCCAACTTGCATCAACATTTAGTTTAACAAAGGGAAGATTCGGCAACAACCACCTAACCTGACCCTTGCGATGAGAGAGTTGTTGCCCCCGTCGACTGGAGGAAACCTGCATAGCATCCAGAAAAGCCACCACACTGGTGGAAATGGCCGAAATTATCCATAGGAATCATTAGACTGTGGAGAAAGCAATATGTGAAGCTGAGATAGGCCCATTAAGATATCAGTCTAAGCTCAAAACTTTCAGCCCAAGATATCTAAGCCCAACTTCTTTTTTGTTCATTCGTTTTTATGATAATCCAAGAGAATTTTACCAAGCTTTTTTTCGGAAATTTCTTCCTGCTACTTAGCATTAGATGTTACGATCACTAGATGATCTAGATTGGTTTGGATTAATATTTTAATTGTGGTCCTGTGAATGCAGATCATTCAATACTCGTAGCATGAAGGTGGAACCCACTTTTTTCATCCAATTATATCATATATAACATAAAAAAGGCCAAAATTTTCTCAAACTCCTCCAAGTTGCAGACTTGCAAGAGAGAGAGGGACCAAGACTCAGCTGCTGCTATCCTACAATCATGTCCACAGAAAGGTTCCTGATCTTATTCATCAACGCAACCCGATCACCGAGTCACTCGACATCCCTTTGAGTACAGTGATGAGACCAGGAGCAAAATGCAAACTTCCAACCTGCTGCTCTCTCTGTTGCTCTTTTTTTTTTCTGCATGATCACGATCTCTCGTACTCATTCCTAATCACTTCAATTAGTCGGGCTTGTGCAGGACGTCCTATCTTAAGAAAGATAGAACGTGTTAAGAAAACCTCGTTTTTTAAGAAGAAAGGACGGGTTAAGAAAACTTGGGTTCTTCAAGAAACATGGAACATATGCTGTCATGAGATCCCAAGGTAAAGACAGAGAAGGCCATTGAAGACTTGAGTGAATTGACCAAGGAGAATGGCCTCAAAGACCATCCTCTGATAAAGGAGAAGCTCCCGAAAAGAACCTGGCATTATTTTCATGGGTGAATGACCTCAAAGACCATCCTCTGATCAAGGAGACGATCCCGCCTCACGACAAATTAATCGCCAGGCTGAAGCTTTTCTCAGCATGACCTTGTGTGATTGAGGAAGACGGAGACAAAAACTAACAAGAAACATGTATAGTTCACGCCGTTCACAAGCAGAAACATGCAAAAGCCGTGACAAGCAATCAAAAAAAGGAAAGGTTATGAAGTAATCCACATATAACTAAAATCGCAAGTGAAGCTAGTAAATCTGACATTACACAAATAATTCAAAAACGTACATGTTACCAATACAAAACAGGAAATTCCATGGTGGGATGGATTTCCGAACAAAATGAAGCACTCAACATCATAACTTAAACCATCCACAACAAAATGTGAAAGCACAAATTGGAACACCTTGAATTACTTCCCGCACCATAAGCCAAAATCAGCGTAGTCTGTAGAAACTACTTAAAATTCGGTTGATTTCACTTGGTCTTTGCAGCTTGCTTTTCCTTCGTCTTTTGAATCTTCAACACCTTTTTCACGATCTTTTGTTCCTCCACCAGAAAGGCCCTGATGATCCTGCAAACCAATAGAAAGCAAGTTGTCTAAACCCCATTGGTGCAACACAACATGAAAAGAAGACAGAAAACACACCTCCATAAGCCAAAAATGTTGTAATGAAATCTACAAACCTTTCCTTGACGGCACCTCCAGACAACACACCTCCATAAGCACGGTTAACAGTCCTGCGATTCCTAGATAATCTGGACCTCTTATACTCAGTAGGCCTCAAGTGAGGGATCTACAAACAAAGACAACAATGTATCGCCACTCAGATGAAACTTAAAGTAACTGGACTACGAATCATTACTAGGACTATACACAATATTGTATTGAGGGGAGAATGTATAAGTTCCAAGTGTACTTTTTACTTCGAGAAAAGGTTAAATTCACAAGAACTTGAACCGTTCCATCTCCATACGGAATGGTGAATCGAGCATGATAATTCTAGCACAAATTAAATGAATCCAATTACACGAGGGCAGATCAACAACAGTTTCATAGACAGCTGCTCCAACTCTAATGCATAACCTATCAACGAACTGGCATTTTGGTTGTGCTATATCGTAAAGTAATAGAACTAAACTTTCACTCATTTGCAAACGCAAAACACTGGGAACCCATGAAAATACTACGGATACGAAACTAACATACGAGATCCTATTAAAAAAACATAAAATGTGAAAACAAAGACAACATTTCGAATTGAAATAAGGCAAAAATACATACCCCTTGAATTCTCTTGCCGGTAACAGGGCACTTGGGCCCACTGGCCCTCTTCTTAGTGGTCTGGTACACTAGCTTCCCTCCTGTTCACCCAAAACAACCATCAATAACAGCGCCAACACTTCAATTAACACAAATTAAACAAAAATCAAAATACCATCTTAATCCCAAAATACCACCTTAATCCAACATTTCATATGCCCAAAAAAAACACAAATTTGACCCAGAAACGAAGCAAACAAGACTTAGGGTTTGAAAGCAATAATATTTAGTTTACCAGGGGTTTTGACGATCCTGTGCTGGTTGGATTTGGTGGCGTAGCTGTGCCGGGCGCGATATGTGAGACGCTGCACCATTTTTGCTATCGAGTTAGCTGTCCCTAAATCTAGGGTTTTGTCGAAGATGAAGGCTTTATATGGAACAATAATTTAATGGATTTGCTTATGATCGGAGGGTTGTAATTAGATCTCTACTTCACTGCCACCAATAATTTGATACGGTGTCGTTTCAATCAAACTGGACTGCTGGTTAGGCCCACTTTCGTAAGTTATTGGGCTGGTTAGGCCCACTAAACTCTCCCGGACATTGTTTTGGATCAAGTAGCCATCTTGTGCAGATGTTGCCTAACCATCAACCTAATCTTAAGTTAAGTTGATTATAATAGTGTTTATCCCCCTTGAATTAAGTTTGAATCTCTTTCTTTGTAAAATATCATTTGTATCGAAATCATTATAACAAGAAGTTGCACCGCAAGGTACCATTTTGTCTAAGGCATATGGTCTTGATTTTTCAAGAGAAGCTCTTGAGGTTCAATTTTATGAACGACAATTTTTTATTAAACAAAAATATAGCATGTAGTATTTTGCATGCGATCTCCTAATAGTCAAGTAGTGTGTCATGTCTAACCACCAAAAGATGATTCGGTGGTTAAGAACGAATTTCAGATCCGTATTTCACACGGCATGTTCAGGATTCGGTTCATGACGCTCGTGGATCACACGACTATGATCATCGAAAGTTGAAATATCTCTATGAGTCTTTCTAGCCCTAAAAGAGTGGGTTATCGTGGCAAAGTCATCAATTGTTCCCCTTTTTAGAAAAAAAACTGGTAGCATATGCTATCTTATACATTAAGAGAGATTCATAGATATCGCCAACTATATTATAACCCTATATATATATATATTCCCATTACTTGATTAGTCATCAAACGAGTGAAATGACCTAATTTTCTCCAGTGTTTGACCTAATGCAACCCCTTTTGGCTTTCTACAAAGCAACAAAGACCTAGACCGACCCTTCCATTTTCCTCTTAAGCATATGAACATGCAAGGAAAATACAAAGTTAGCTTTGTCTTCTCTAATATTCCAATTTCCAATGACCAACATCGGGTGATTGATCACTCGTGGTGCACATTTCTTCCTTCCGTCTTAAGCTAAAATTCGTAAAGCATATGAGTGAAAGGTTAGGAGACGAAGAATACCTCCATGTCAACGTCACCATTCACCATCCTACCATGCCACATTGATATGGGCAGGTTCGATTTTTCCAATTGACTTTGCACCATTTGTGCATCACGTTACGGATACGGCAGCTTTATTAAATTATAAATAGTGCTTTACGTCATTTGAATTCAGATAGATTTCACTCGTTGGTGGTTAAAAAAACATGTAAGTCGTATTCGTTGGGTTAAAATTATGTTTTTTAAACAACACGAAGTTGTGTGTTTTGTGCGGTGCGAGTCTAGTTTTCAATGTTGATGTCCCATCTTTACATGCGTGTGCATTGTGAGTAGTTTAGACAAAGTTTCTAGATTGTGATTATTATGATTAAGCATATAATGACATGCTATTTGCTTGATAATGACGTTCACGGCCGGCAAGACCATCCATTTTGCGGAGGAAACGGAATGATTCGAATATTTATGATATTGAAATTGAATTGAAACCAAGAACTATAAGTTCACAAGTGTACTCATCAAAATACGAGTATAGGGTTTGTTTGAAAGTGTTTTTAGAATGATTGTAACCGCTTTCGGTGAAAATATTTTAGGAGTCGATCCTTAGTAAAAATGCAAGTGAATCTTATAAACAAAACACTTGAAGTGATTCTTAGAAGAAACAAATGACTGATGCTTCTTTCAGAAAACATTTCAAGTGTTTATTTTTAAATTAAAAAATATTTTCTCTAAAATTACTTTTATTCATTTAAACACACTTATGAAACGAGTCCATTTTCTCTAACGACTGAACATCGATTCTTTGGTTCTTTTCCCACCAATTTTCTCAAGATAATTGGTATGAATAAGACTCCACATTTCTCGCAACTACATATCATTACCCATAACCGGATCATGAGTAACTTCAACCTAGCTAGAACACAACGTAACATCTTCAATAAGCGTCCAATTCGTACTTGCATCATTAGTCATTTTGTGGGAAACCAATTAGATTGAAACTTTGAGAGAAAGATTGGAATATGATTGAAAGTATTTGAGAAAATATGAAATTGTGGTTGAAACTTTGAGAAAATATGAAATTATGGTTGTAACTTTGAGAAAATATGAAATTATGGTTGAAACCTTGAGAAAATATGAAATTGTGGTTGAAACTTTGAAATTATGGTTGAAACCTTGAGAAAATATGAAATTGTGGTTGAAAGTTTGAGAAAATATGAAATTGTGGTTGAAACTTTGAGAAAATATGAAATTATGGTTGAAACTTTGAGAAAATATGGTTTAAAGTACTTGAGAGAAAGATTGGAATATGGTTGAAAGATTGGAATAAGGTAGAAGATGATGAGAATGTATTTATAGAAAAGAAAAATCAATTTTTTTTTTTAATTTCAGATTTTTTTTATTAATTAATTTTTTTTTTATATTAACTTAATTAATTTGTGCCGTCGGATTAAAAAAAAATTGAAATCCAACCCTCCAGATTGTGCCAAATGGCACAACGGTAACTTTTCAGATTTTTTAAATGTTAATTTTTTTTTTTTTTTATTTATAAAGGCGAAAACGTGGACCATTGATCTCAAATCCAACGGTTGAAATTAATGAAGGTTTGAATTTTTTTTTTACCATTGGAAATTCAACGGTCCACAAAAGGTAACCTTTTAAATCCAACAGATGTGGAACTCCCACGTGGCCTCCAACAGTAACATTACGCATGCCTATGTCGTGGGCCCCAGTGCCTGAAACATGTCAGGGACGCGCCCTCACGTGCACGTGTTATGCACACACCTGACTAAAAAAATAATAAAACGTGGGTGACGTTAACGTTGCATCACCCCAACCTCGGATTCTCGGGCCAGCGATTCTCGCTGGGCCTCTCGCTCGGGCCCCCTCCTGCACAGTCGCCCACATGGGCTGGACATAATTGCTGGGGCTATTGCCCCTTGTTCTGGAGCCGGTCCATCCGGCCGTAGAGCACGGTGAAGTTGCTTTTAATTCCTGAGAATTGTGAAAGCATGCTAAAGACATAACACCTATAGACAAATATTGTTGTCACCATTAAATATTAAATTAAAGTTAGTTTTTAATTATATATAAGGAATAGTTATTAGCACTCTAAAAATCTCATTTTACACTTCAAAACTCTTTATATTAAGAAGAAAAATACACTTATAAGGAGTGTAGAATGAAATTTTTGAAATGTCAATAACATTTTCCTATATATATTGTTGTCTCTATTAAATGTTAAATTAAAGTTAGTTTTTAATTATATATATTGTTGTCTCTATTAAATATTAAATTAAAGTTAATCTTTAATTATATTTAAAAACGTCACCATATTAAAATGGAAGGTTGATAATTGCTATATTCAGCATGCATGGCAATATGTTTCAATAAGTTTGCTAATTTTGTCCAGCAAACCCACTAACTAAATTTCCTAAAATTGAAGATATAATTAACATGTTCCGATACAATATTCTATAAAAACGTTCGATCACTTTTGGTTTAACCGACTATTTATTTAGTAACAGTGGGTTTAAAATAGTGACCAAAATTCTAAATTTACGAAAAAGTACACGACCAAAAAAAATATAATATGGAAAAGTATACACATTTGATAAACATGAAACCGAAACTGACTTTGCTGTGCAACCTCAAGTGAGGTATTTTATTTGGTCCTGGAAATTCATAAATTTGGTGCTGAATTACAAAGTTACGCATTAACTAAAACTGATTTAATTTCGAAATTAACAAATAACAACAATTCCTTTTCCGAAGGTCATTAATCTCTTTATATTTTTTTGGCCAAAGATCTCCTTATATTTAGTAATTTAAATATAATTAAGATGAATGTCAGTTACATTCCTTTTTTCAAAATTTCTATTATGATACGTAAATGGTATATTTACATTAACATTGGAGAAATGAACTGATATCATACTCGTTATTCATGAGATTCATATGTAAGATTATTCATTACAAATGAAAAGAAAATTACTAAACCGTAGTACTAAATAAAGTTTTAAAATACGTCAGATGCTAGTTGGAAAAGTTAAGACTTAAAACTTAAGCCATCATAACAATGCCATCATCACAGACCAATGCAACAAAAATAAGAAAAACTCAAAACAAAAAACCAAATTTGAAAATTCAGTAATTCACAACTTGGATTCTTTTGGAGTAGGTTACCTAACAAACCTTTTTTCTAACAAACGATATCCTTTGCCCAGAAAACCCGTTTAACTTAATTAAAAAAACTTTAAAACAATGGAACCGCTTAGCCACTGCCAACCTGCCTAGCCCCTACTCGATTTTTTTCCACATTTTGGCCTAAAACGGATCGGTCTTTCACCGTCTAGTGCCTAGGCCAATTTTTTGAATAGAAAACTTCATTTGAATCCTTGGCAAAGATGACTTTTACATTAAAACCATGAGTAAGATCAAAATCTAATTTTAGTCCCTTGATACATTAATAACCTCATTTATTAATTATATTTTGATTTATTAATTATTTCTCTTTTTCTTCCTAATTTTTAATGTATTAATTTTATTTCATTATAATTTTCATTTTTATTTCATTTATCTTAATATATTTTGTTGTAAACATTTAATAAACTAATTTTTGTTATACAATATATTTCAATGTATTTTGTCCTCTTCATTTAGATACATTAAATTCATTATAATACATTTCAATACATAGATTTAGGTATACACATTTCGGAATATACATTTCGATACAAACATTTAGTTACATTAATTCAAATTAATACATTTCGGTGCATATATTTTGGTACACACATTTAGGTACATTAATTTAATATAATACATTTTGGTGCATATATTTCGGTACATACATTTCAGTACTAACATTTAAATACTTTACTTTAGTATAATATATTTCGGTACTAACATTTATGGTATGCAGACGGGACGGGACGAGACGAGACGGGGCAGGACAGAACGGAACCTTATGTTTGGTACGCGCATGACGGAATAGGACGATCATTCCGTTCTGCGTTTGGTAAGTGCATGATGGCACGTAACCAAAAGATTAAATGACTAACTTGTCCATGTTTCGCATGTTATTTGGTACAATGTTTATGCGTAGAATAGAATGGCACAGTTTTATTTTATTTTTTTAACTTGTTCATATTCAATCTAAAGGTATGATTAAATGAGAAAGCAAAGTGAATCATCAGTTTTTTGAAATATTTAATAATAAAAAAAATTTACTTTTATATAATTAAAACTTAAAAAATAAAAAATAAAAAATAAAAAGAAGAAGAAGAACTGTTCATCTTCTTCTTCCCCATTACAACTTCTCAGAGAATTTCAAATCCAAGATCATGAGCTGGTGGTGGGCCAGAGCTGTTGGCGCTGCCAAGGCAATCATAACCACAACTCCTCCTGTATCGATCCTTTCCAACTTTTTATTTATTTGTTTTTCCTAATTAACGTTTTTAATTCCGAATTTTGCAGAAAAAATTCGATGAAGAGGAACTGCCGCGAACTCCCCAGAGTGTGGGTCTGTGGTGGAGGGAGCATTATGGTCGAGGAAGATGCAACTGGGTTTGTGGTGGAGGAGGATGAGGTTGCCAAAGAGAGGGAGGGTAGAAGAGAGGAAGGCTACAGGAGAGAGAGTGAGGGTAGAAGAGAGGGATTAATGAAAAACAATATAGGTATTGTTGTCCAAAAAAATTGTAATTTTGTGTTCCACGGGCGTGGAATGAGTCGTTCCAAGGGGGAAGGTGGAACGAAAAAGTAACCAAATTTCGTTCCGCGGGACAGCGCGTTCCACTTTTTTTAGCGCACCAAGCGTGGGATGGAACGCCTCGTCCCACTTCATTCTGTCTCGTCCCACGTACCAAACAGTATCTTAGGTACATTAATTGAGTCTTTCAAGTTTGAAGAATGTTAAATAAAATTAATAAATTAAAAAACTCTTTTTTGGTCAAAAAATGAATTAAAATTTGTATATTAATAAATTTAAATATTTAATGGGAGACATTAAATAAAATGCACATTAATTATTTTGAATTAAGGACACATTAATGGATTATAATCAATATATAATCTAACACAAGGTTTATTTTAAATTTCAATCTTCTTGAAATATTAAAGTTAAAAAACCTTTTTTTAGAATTGTGATACTAAGTGGTTATAGGATCGTATTCTTTGATCGATAATTTACATTATTTAAAAAAACAAGTTATTGTACCTTCAAAAGAGAAAAAGTTGTTGTAATCTTCATTTAACCATTTGATAATAAAGTTAATTTTATATTACCAAAAGAAAATAAAGTTAATTTTATATTTTAAACCTGCTATAAAGCTAGTAGCTTGTAGCTTTTTGGCCTTCACCCAAACCAAAAGATTGGACGGTTTTAGTAGACCTCAAGTTTCTCAACGTCCATTGACCGTTCTTTCTTTTGAGTCCAAGTTCCAAACTTTCGAGTTCATAACACCCAAATGGAAACCACTTTAACTGTTGTTTCGAGAAATCAAAGCGACCCACAAACACGTTAAACTCCAGTTCCATGTATCCATTATTATTCCATCGCAATCTCCTCCAACAATCTCGCACATTTTTGTCTCCAGATTTTTCACCCCCTCAGATTCCGCTGTCTGCAAGTGGGTTTTGTCGTCCACTTTCCCCCAATGGATTCTGACCTAATAAAATTTCCAGATCTTCTCTCCCTGTTAAACTTTGCTTAGGATTGAGAAAAAACAAAGGGTTGATTGAAATGATGGTCACCAGGAAATTCCACGTGCTCAAAACCCAATTTGAAACATTTGCTAAGGGTTTGCTGAGCAAGTCCCTGTACGGAAACATGGTTGGAGTCGTTGGTTCTATGTGGGTTCTGGTTTGCAGCTACTTTTTCGTCGTTTTTGGATTCGTAAGCAGATACATGCTCAGGTATGGTGAAGTTCGAGTCTGTGATTTTCCCAGTTGAAAAGTTTGATGGGTTTGAACTGATTAATGGGTTTCTTTCTTTTTTCAGATTCCAGGCAGATAATCCGAGAGATCAAAGTCAGAGTTCTTGGATTTCAGACATTTCTGTGTTCAAAGAAGAAGAAGAAGAAGAAGAAGAAGAAGAAGATGCATTCTTTGATTCGTCTAATAGCAAAATTGATGAGGAACACGGAGAAGAAGAAACAGGGGCTTTGGGTTTTTCGGAGACGGTGTCGGCCGCGAGCACCGATCCTTACGAGTTCAGGTATGGGAAAGATGTTAGTTGCTACATGGAAGAACCGACAGCTATGAGCTTTGTTGTCCAAGAATTGTATGCAGACTGGAGCAATTCAAATATTAATGGTAATCAAGAGAAAACAGCGGCAGAAACAGAGGATGTCGATGATCAAGAAAAAACAGAGGAAAAAACAGAGGATTTTGATGAAGATCGAGAAAAAGCACAGGACTTGGCAGAAAGTGTTTGTACAGAAGAGCACCCTTTTAAGAGTTTTAGTTTTATGAAGTTTCCGGTTGCTGAAATTGCGCCTTCGGGGACGGTTAAGCCTCCGGAAACTGCAAGTTTTGGTGAGCATGATTCATCAGATGATGTTCAATCGCTTGTCCAAAATCGTGCCGCGGTTTCTGATTCTAAAGAAGAGTCGGCTACATCAAGAGGAGGAGGAACTGATGAGGTGGATTCAATTACTTACGAGTTTGATGTGGGAAGAAATGTGAGCGAGCGATTGGAACCTCAAAGCCTAGTAATCATGAAGGGAGATGAACAGACGGTTAAGATGAATACGGATGATTTTCAATTGCATGAATTTAGTATCCCAAATAGTAAAGAAGTTCTTTTTTCAGATTCAGAAAATGGTTCTGATGATGAATACATCGAATTTTCAAAACCCCAAGTTTCTGACTTTAAGGAGGAAGTTGGTCCTCAAATTGCAGAGCAATCAGCAGAAGAAATTGGATTGCAGGAGGCAAATTTCGGGTCGGATCAGGATGGCGAAGACGAGGATGATGAGCCATGGGAGCATGATGATCTAATCGAGCAGCTGAAAAATGAAATAAGAAATGGGGGAGGCGGGAGGCTTCCGACAATTTTAGAAGAAGAAACTGAGTGTACAGATACGGTGGATAATCTGAAGCTGAAGCCGCTGGTTATCGAGGAAAAGCTCGAATTCAAAGATCGAATGGCTGAGATTCAGAAGGTGTACAAAAGCTACGCAGAGAAGATGAAGAAGCTGGATATCTTGAACAACCAGACCATGCATGCAATTGGTAAGTTTGACATAAAACCACTCTGTTTCAATTTGTTTTACATTTCTTTTACTTGAAAGTTTATCGATTTGCAGACGCAAATTAAGTCAATAGAGTCAAATTAGTATGTCCAACCTCTTGCATCTAAGTTCAAATACTAAATTTTATAAGTTAGAAATTCCTCAGTTTTGTTTTAGTGCGAGAAAAGTCATGAAGCAATTTCGTATTTATTTGCTCGAATTCTAAATTTTATAAGTTAGGTATATCTCAATTTTGTTTTAGTGCGAGAAAAGTCATGAAGTAATTTCGTATTTTATTTGTTCATTGGATTTTTTCAATTTACATGCATTCAAGAAGATTTGGTCGTTTACTTTTTAGTATGAATGGCTGAATATTATTTTGTTGTCCTGTTGAACAACAACAAACTCTTATCTCATTAAGTGAGATGTGCGTATAAATCCTTGAGCGACACTAGGTTCGGTTTTGTATCTAATCTTTCGTTAGGTTCAAGTACTTCATATATTTTCTTAAATTTTGTTTTTAACTCTGCCTCACAATGGTCTAACAATAATGTGATTTAAATTTACCTTTTGCGAGAATTAAACTTAAAATCTCTCATTTATAAATAAAAAAGAATATTACTAAACTATAGTACTAAATAACATCCCAAGCATCTTTTGGAGAATATGTTGCTTTCTGGGCCTGCAACATCATCTTTATTCCTATCATTTTCCACTAATTAGCGGGCATCAAATGTTTTTTTATTTTTTTATTTCATTTTATGTGGTGGAGGCCAATGGGCCTAAGCTTGGGTTCGTTATTGATACACAAATCGATTTCTATATATTAAGGTTTCTATGAAGATCAAACATTTATTTTTATTCGGAGTCAATTTATAATTAAAAGTTGATATATACCTAATAATGTTTACTTTTGTATAATAATAATGTTTACTTAGACAGTAAGGTTCGCCTTTCTAGGTAATAATATGACATTATCTCATGAATGTTTTTAATGTGATGATGTAGTGTGTATATAAAGCGCCGTAAAATTAAGAAAGTGAAGAATAAAAAATAATTTGAACTATTACACATTTTTGTTATTTTTTTGCTCCACATCGAAGTACTTTTTTCCTTAGTGAAGATCACATTTCAAGTTTCTCATAGGCCTTCAAAATCTTTGATTGACTCTGTATATGAGTTATACTAGCTGGTTAAGTCAATGTCTGCTCTTTTGCATTTAAATTCGAATCTTCTTATGTATTAGAACAATTTAAAATGTATTTGTCTAATGCTGATCATTGCTTAATTGATGCTTTTCTGCAGGTTTTCTCCAGCTGAAAGATCAAGTGAGATCAATGTCAATCCAAAAATCTTCAACGTTTCCACTTGTGAAGTCTCTTATTTCACAAAACTTATGGCGATGCAAAACACAAAGGCACCCCACAGCTCTTGCTCCAATGCCAAAAGTTGTCGGGGACTTGCACAAAGACTTTGAATTGGTGTACGTAGGGCAGGTTTGCCTTTCTTGGGAAATACTTAACTGGCAGCATGGAAAAGCCCTAGAACTGCAGCAATATGACAATCAAACATCTCACCATCGATATAACTTAGTAGCCACTGAGTTCCAACTGTTTCAAGTGCTCCTTCAAAGATTCATAGAGGACGATCCTTTTCAAGGCCCCAGGGTCCAGCATTACGTGAGGAATCGATGCGTTCTTTGTAACCTTCTCCAAGTTCCTCCAATCAAAGGTAATGTTCACAGGTTCGAGTGTTTAATATCTTGAACAATCAGACCATGCACGCAATTCACAAGTTTGATAACATAATATGTCAAATTGCAATACATCTTTATGTAGATAACTTTTTAGATTATGTAATGGTTCATATGTTAATTGCGTCGTAGATGATAAGAAGCATCTAACAAGAGGGGAGGAGGAAACGATTATTTTGAGTGGAATGCTAGTGAAGATCATCGAAGAATCAATGCATATATTTTGGAACTTTGTTCGTACGGATGAGAGGAATGCCAACCTAAAGGGGCTTCAAGAGACTCAGGTCGACCATAAGGATTTAGAGCTTCTCCTGGACATTCGGAAAGATCTCCAAAAGGTTTTACATACCTTTCTTCAAATTAATTTTGACTGAGTATTTTCCATTTTGTGTTATACCCAATTTTACTACATTTTTTACGGTGTTGCTCGAACAAGGGACAAAAGCGCAAGCAATTGTGAGCAACTTTGAATATCGAACAACACATTTCTCATCCATACACTTGGTATTTGATCGTACTAAATGAACAAGAACTCACTATTGCTCTTTTTTTGTCCCTCCAAAAAACGATACTTATTATTTATTTGTTGTATTGCAGAAGGAGAAAAAACTTAAAGAAATACATAGAAGTGAAAATTGTGTAGTGAAGAAGTTCCAAAAGCACCAAGAGAGACGACTTGAGCACAGTCTATTCATTGCTCAAGTTGAATTGAGGTTGATTTCAAGAGTGCTAAACTTGTCAAAAATCAAAACGGAGCAGTTGGTTTGGTGCCACGAAAAGCTGGAGAATATCAATTTTGTTCATAGGAAGGTTCATGTGGAGCCGTCGTTTTTGCTTTTCCCATGTTGACACTTTTTGTATGTTAACATGGCAGGATGTGTGCCATGCCATTTTCTGCACGTACGGATGCTGCTTTTTGACATATACTTGTAAAAAATAGGTAGATAATAGGTGGAGTAAATTGTATTGTTACACACATGTTGGTGCAAATAATTACTAAATAAAAGTTCATTACAAAATAGCTATACTATGTTTTTGTTCCTAACAAAAGTAGACGATAGGTTAGGAACACGTTTGAAAACACGGGTGAAAGTATTATCGGATCCAGGAGTTTCTTGTTAGGGAAATAAATCAATAAGGCACACACCCAACACATCAACCAAATCGCCACCATTTTCTAAGATCAAATATTTCGAGCCGGCTTCCATTAAAAATACAAACTTTCTTTTTTATGGTGCGATCACATAAGAACATAAACTTTGTCCTTTTTTTTTTCCGACGTTAGAATTTTTTGTCAAACAACTTGCCTGACAACTATACTCAAGATAAAGCGTTTGTTAAAGTTGTAGAGCATCGTAAATAACAAAAAGGACTAGTAGTGGCAATAATTATCACTCGTATTTATTTTGATTTACAACTTCAAATTAATTTGATCATATAACAGTATTTCAATACGACACAATATTGTAAGCAACATTTCACATGCAATTTCAGCCTTGTATTTGTAAATATTTGGGCCCCAAAAGAATGAACTCGTTGCATCGTCCCAAAAAATCCGTCAAATATTTTGTCAAACCCCACCCAACCAAGGATGTGGAAGCATCGCTAACACTCGGCCGCGTTGCCTAACATGTTCCAACAAAATCAGTTCAAAATCCAAATCAAAGTATGAGAAATGTCAGATCCAAATAAAGTAAAGAAGAATAAAGAACAAGGACTTTGATCTTTGATTCTTGACGCGTGTGGACAAAAGAGGGGCGGTGGATCAAATTGAATACAACAAAAATGGATTAAAGTAGGAGAGGATTAGTGGTGGTTCCCAATTATCTTTTCAGAATCTCATAGACAGATATGTGTTATCACATCATTCGTCAACATTTTACATTAATATAAATGAGAAATGCGGAGAACCTCTTAAAAGTGTTTATGAATTCTCTGCCATAATGTTTTACATCATTAGCACATATATTAAGTTAAACAGTGAAATGACAGATAATTTATAAAGAACTTCATTTTTCAAAGAATTTTCTTGGCATCTGTCAAAGTAGAATTTTTCATGAATTATCTGTCATCTTATAATTTTAGTACAGTATTGGCAAGAAAATTAACCTAAAATAGTGAACTGATAGAGATTTCGTAGAAATCCTCACTTTGAGAGTTTTCTTACCATTTTTGGGTTGTGCTATTCACACGCACTCTTTATGTCTTCTTAGCATTTTTTATATGGTGGTGCATTAATTTTATTTTTTGCATACTTTTTTTTTTATTTTAAATCATCGAATTAAATGAATTAAAAATAATCAAATAATAACAATTAATAAAAGATGTGTGAGAGATATCGTAGGTGTGGACAATAACACTCATCAGCAGCAAAGCAAAGAAAGAAGGCAATGCTTGCCGCTTTAAGCAACCAACCAAATAAGGAAAGCTGGCGGTTGTTCAGGTTCCTGGGCAGCGGGCACTGCTTTCCATCACCTAAAAACCCTAATTTTAATTATATTGTAATATATTATTTTGGATTTAAGCCAACCCCCTCGCCTGCTAAGCTTGCCTTAAAACCCAGGAAATGAAATCTAACATTCCAAATTAGACAACTGCATGCACTACATGTACATGACAACACATCTTTTACACGCGTCCCTTCTGGTTTCATACATCATGCCTAATCCCGGCGTCCACTTTTGAATCGTTTTGCTCGTTCTCTTTTAAAGTTTAAGAGTAAACTGTCGATAACCTCTTAAATTATTACTTAACTTTTAATTTCTCTTTTGAAAATTTTAATTGAAAAATTAAGAATTTAAATTATTTTTTTTTGGTCGATTTGCCCTCTACTGTTAATTTTTCATTCATTCCATCCAAATTTCTTTTAAATAAAAACATGTGCACAACATGTGAGGGTAGTTCGGTCGCTTCATTCTTTAACTTTAGATTTCTAAAATATAAACCTATGCAAATATGTGTGATTCTATCACTTTTGTGTCAGAAGGTCTAGCGAAGTGATACTTTTGTCGACAAAGGAGAATCATGTGGTGTGCGCATGGTAAGAGTCAACGTTAATTAGGATGAAATCTATGAAAAACTAACGGTAGGGGGAAATCGGCCAAAAAAATTAATTTAAGTCCTTAATTTTCCAATTAAAAAGTTCAAGGGAAAATTGAAAGTTACGTGATAGTTCGGAGGGCAAATTGGCAGTTTAGCCGAAGTTTAAACATCATAGCAAATATGGGTTACGTAACTTGATTAGAGCAGTGTGCGGCTTATTTATACTCATGTATTTTAATATTAGTTTAACAAAATATCGCTTTGTTAAGATGTATCATAACTTTGATGTTATCTCAATCCTTTGTTTCTAAGAAGTATTTACCTAACTAGTACATATATATGTTATCACGGTCGTGTCTTGAACTAAATATGCGATTTCATGTACAAGTCATTGTCGACATAACGTTGCACTATTAATTAAAAATTAAATAAAGTTGATTTTTTACCGTAAAATCAAGTGGTAAATGGACAGTAACTCAAATACTTCTAAGCACATGCAAAATTTTTCATTTCTCCTCACTGAATTGATACTCTTAACACGCTCTCACATGTGGCAAAATTTTCAAGTCTAGCACGTGGACAACAAAAAGTAAGCGACATGGAGCACGTGTGGCTGTTGGGCTTCACACACGAGACAACATACTTTGACACCGTGAAAAAAGTTGAGGTTTTACCATAAAACGAATTGACAATGTAAAAAATAACCTAAATATTTGTAAGCACATGCAAAGTCCCTTATTTCTCAGATATAGATTAACACTCTGTTGACCCTAAAAATTACAAAGTCTACGCGGCGTGCAGGCCGAATAACTAATAAGCTAACTAAGTCCTTCGGTTAAATGCGGGGCGTGCCAACTCGTCGGCCTAGCTCGGCCGAGGAGTAAAATTTGTTGATGTTGCGTTGAGCGCGTTGCTGACTTCTTTATCTTACGACTGCGGCCGAGGAAGGAACAAATCTCGGCCTTTGGATTCTCGAGCCTGAAGACAAGGCTGCTAGTTCTACGAAGTTCAATATCAAATTCGGCTCTCAGGGTGCCGAATGTAGTAACTTGGTAACACCTCACTTCACCGAGAAGGCTAATGAGATGACCTCTGCCAATAAGGATTTGAAAATCCTTCTCGACCGAGACTTGGATAGATAACCAGTCGGCCTCGACGCAGTGCTGTTTATCCAAACTGAAAGTGCTTCGGGAACGGCTGATTCTACGACAACAGTGCTGTTTATCCAAACTGAAGATGTTCGCCGGTTGCCTTCACAGTGCTGTTTATCCAAACTGAAGATGTGTCGGCGAAAAAAAGAAAATAAAAAAATCTCAAGATGTTTGAGAGGTTTTGCGCAGGGCCAGTTGTGTGTTGAATTGGAGGTCCTTCAATTGTTGCATGATGTCTTGTATTTATAAAACTAACTTAGCGCAAAATCCATATGTGACCATCAATCTCCACAAATAATAATTTACACGGAGATGATGATTATCCAATGAAAGTCGTGGCACTCAACGTCTTTGGTGTTAACCACGCATTTTAGCCAAAACCACGTAACAAAGCTTGGTATGCCAATTCCTTCTTTGCTAAAGATAAGCATTGTCATTCAAACCTTGGAATATCAAGCTTTATCCATAGAATATTCACTTCATTTGGTAGCCTTGAGTTTGCTAATAATTATCCCATGCATGCATCACAATGGCTTACTTCACGTAATTAATCATTCAAGTTGGACTCCACCTTGGTTACCAACTGATGCCACCACATGCTAAGACTCTTTTTATAATGCATGATGCTCAATCCCGCGTTGAATGCTAAGAATCCCAAACTTAATTGAACTATTTTGCTTGCTTCGATATAGTTTGAGTCACATTTATCTCGTACAAGAAAAGTGTCAAGATAATTCATTATTAAAAGATAATTATCATGATTAAAAATCATAATATTATCCTCTAACAACAACAAAATTATTGTAACTTTCTTATCCGACGATTAAGAATCATCCTTACTCAACGGCCTCGATCGCTTGGGCCGATGGTGTAAAATCAAGTCCAAACACACTCTCAACAAAAATGTCGTAAAAGACAGTCTTTCCTTTCTCAGTGATTGAGTGAAATATGAAGGGAAGACTGAAAAAGGATAGGAACATTATACACAGCTTTCACATAAGTGAGGATAATATGGAAAATGGTGGATTTGGTGATGTCAGAACGGAAGCATTAATATTATACAGGCCAAAGAACAAGTTTGTACGATGGTCCCAAATCTAATCTCCAATCCATTTAAAGAATCACGGGGACTCGGTTCTAAATCTAGACCTCTTGTTATCTTATGCCCCATCTCAAGAAAATTTAATTACCAGTAATCGTTTTTATCTCCTGCAGTGAAAAAACTACTTAAATTTGCCTTGGATGATTTGGAGGTTTGCCTTAGATCTAGTACTAGCTGATCCAAAAGCCTATTATCTCTCCAACGTACCTATCTACACCTCAATGGTATTTTGAACCAATAATACATCGTGATCTTACGTAAATCTTGTATATCTTATCTAAAATACCTCGATAGTAACTCAATATCTCATATTAATAATAGTATAATACAATGTCATTTACTCGTAAACTGTTATCATTTATCGATAGTATTCTAATGTGTAGAAAAGTCTTTCACTAGAACTTTTTTGGGTGCTTTGAAGTATTCGGTATTTCAGACATTTTAACTATTAGATCTTTATTTTAAAATACAAAAAATTAAAATTTAACAGTTAGACACTCGGAGTAGCAAGCAAATACTTAAAATCCTCATTTAAACTATATTTTGTAAATTATATGATGTGGATATTGATGATTACATTATTAATTTTTTTTTTATTATAAAAGAACAATAGATAGATTCATTACAGATCAAATAGGTACAAAATAGAAGAACATTACAGTATAGCTTCTTCAAACAATAAATCCGATATTAGATCCAGAGTATAATCATCCCAAGTGCAATTGAATCCTAAAAAAAAAAGAGCAAAATGTGCTAGGTGATGAGCGATGCCATTAGCTTGACAATGAACATGGATGGAAGAAACTCAAGTGATTGATGCCATTAACGTCTTCGAATCTTCGATAATATGCCCAAATGACTGACAAATTAATAGAAGAATCATTAAGTGTAGCAACAATCTAGAGGCAAATAAGACCATCCCTAACAGCCAATGCCTCAATATAGAGAAGAGAATGTTTTCAATCTTCCTTGCAAAAAGTGCCACAAAAGCACCCTGGTTGTCACGCCCCGATCCCAACATATGTTCAGGATCGAAACGTGACGTCACAAAAAACCCCCATGACAATGGGTTCATGGTCCACTACTAGCCCTCACGTTTCATCACATTAGGCTAAACATATAAATCAAACCACATTTCAAATATGCACGTCAAATCACATTTCATAAATATTTCCAATTCACAATCAAATCACATAAATCGATGAATAAAAATAACAATTCAATACAAATCACATTTAATAACCAAGTATACACAATATGGCGCCACTAGTATGTAAATCGAGACACACGTCAAACGAGAAGGACACGTCATCATGCTAAGCCCAATAAGCTCCATGGAATCTCAACAACACTCTAAGATCAGTGACACGCTAGAAGAACTCAGGCTAGTTAACTAAAAAGTCAACCGTCGATAAGATCGAGAGTAGGGTTCACAACCCTATTAATCTAAATCAAAAGATCCGCCTATCAAATTTCTGATCCGTAATTTCTCAAAGTCCACATTATGCTTCTAGAACAACATACTAAAACTTCATTACGATCCAACGGTTGGATCTCCGCCAATCGCAAATTCAAGTGACGGTCAACGTTTGATTTTACAAACTTAGAAATCAAATTCGGGAAGATTTGTGCGTCGGATTCCAGACCTTTTAATTCCTAATGTCATCAAATATTACGTACGATTATGTATTAAAGTTTGGTAACAATCTAACGATTGGATTGTCAATTCATATAATGACCAAGTGGCGATCTCTATCAAAACTATAGTCAATCGAACATCACATATGGAATTAAGGTATCCAAATTAGTCTAGGAATGGCAGGTAGGGCCTTGGCCCACGTGCCGCCGCACGCCCTGACTTACCGGAAAATTAAACTATTTCCAAAATTTACCAAAATTCATAGAATTGTAGATCTCAATAAGGGGAGCAATTTTCATACCTGAGCCGAAGTCCAATTCGGCCGGCAAGTGCTCGGAATTGCCTCGAACTCGCCGGAAACCCCAAAGGTATGCTTCGATCCATCACCTATGGTGCTCCGCTACCCCTAAACCTGTTTAGGCTTTGTTTATGGGTTCAAGGAGAGTCTAATGGTGGTGGAGATCTAAGGAAATTGTTTCACAAATGGTGGTTCAAAGCCGAGAACCACTTGGACCAGCTCGTTGTTTTCTTCCCAAAATCAAGGCTAAAGTCGAGTTTGGATGAAGATTGATGGAAAAATGGCAGGGAAATGATTTGGTAGTGGTGAGAAGCTTTCATTTGCTCGAAAAACGCCGCGAGGGCATCGAAAATGGATGCCAACTGAACCGGGTTTGGGTGAAAAAAAACAGGTCAAAGGGAAGAAGTTTTTGATTGGGTGCCATTCACCTCTCTCTTTTCCCTCCTTTATCTCCCATCTCATTCATCACTTGCTTTCCTCTCTCCTGCTCTCATTGGGCAGCCCCCAATCCCTCATTTCTCTCATCCACTCTCCATCCTGGCCATACACGTGGTGCCATCTCCTCTCATCCTGATCCAACAAATCTGGAGCCTTCTAGATTGAAGGAAAATTACCAAAATTTCCTTAACTTTAAACGTTAATAACTCATTCGTTATAGCTCCGTTTCACGAATGGTTTGCGCCTACGCGTTCGTGAGATCGAGCTTTGTTCGAAAATATAAATTATGAACTGGAAAGGCCTACGGATTTTAAATAACTAATTTCCAAACTTCAAACTTCGTAACTAGTTTAATTAAAATATAAATTCAAATAAATTATATAAATTCCTGAAAAATAATATAAAATCTCAATAATATAAATACGTAAATTATAACAGTGAAATTCAGGAATGAGAATTCACATTGATCATCTCGAATTATCACTCCAATCCCCCATTGTTTTGATAATTGGTTCTATGTTCCATCCTGAATTATTACTTAAGTCTTAATTAACGTATTTATTTTTTTATTGGTGACACATCATATGCTTTATAACTTTGATCTAAAAATTAGTCTACCTAACATTACTCATAAATGAATACGATAAAGTAACATATGATATATTTTAAGTTCTTAACCAACTGTGCTCAGAAATTGAAAAAAAGAAAAGAAAAGGAAATTCTATTTAAGACACATTAGCATGGGGAAGGCTTTGTGTGACATCCCACATCGCTCAGGGGAGTGATCCTTATATGTATATTCTCATCCCTACCTAGCTCGAGGCCTTTTAGGAGCTCATTGGCTTCAGGTTCCATGGGAACTCTGAAGTTAAGCGAGTAGCGTGCGAGAGCATTCCTAGGATGGGTGACCCATCGGAAAGTTCTCGTGTGAATTCCCAGAAACAAAACCGTGAGGGCATAGTCGGGGTCCAAAGCGGATAATATCGTGCTACGGTGGTGGAGCGGGTCCGGAAAGTGATCATTCCCGGACCGGGATGTGACACTTTGCCTTTAAGCTTAATGGAAAAAAAAAAAAAACTTGAAACATTTAAAAAGGAATTTAAAATACCAAACACTGAAATTCCAAATGATGGTGTTGCCACCCAAAAATGGAAATATACAATATTATAATCGTTAAACCAGAAGGAAAAAGACAATCAGCAACTAAAAAACGAGAAATTTTTTATTGTGATGGAAACACAGATGATACATTGCGTGTGACTATATAAATAGTGAAATATTTGTATTAAAAAACCAATCACATTGAAAAATGTCTCCTAACAAACGAAGAAACATGTCTGCAAAAGAAAGCAACTTTATACTACTAATGGAAAGCTAAAACATCGATTAATTAACTTTGCATTAAGAGAAATATTTCAGCTAAACATATGCTTAACATTCTCTTTAATCGTTATCCTCTCTAATCCCTTCCCTCTCGACCTCACCACCTAAACAGTTACTTAACGAACGAGCTAGCAAATTGGCAAGAAATGTTTATACTAATACGCGTGATTAATTAACCTTAATATCTCCCAAAGCTTCCATCTTTCTCACTGTTTCACGACGAAGAAGACGACCCATTGTTGGAAAGGTGAAGGGGGTTGGCATTGACATTGTTGTCGGCGATGTGAGCATTCATGGAGTCAAAACCAAGTCTTTCACCCTCACCGTTGATCTCACTGACATTGCTGTCAATAATCATATTCCCGCCGCCGCCTACGCCGCCCGATCTCTCCAATCTCCTCCTGAGACCGTGCTTGTTATTGTGCATCCAAACCTTAAAAACTCCCCTCCCAATCCCCACCTCGCTGCAAAAATCCTCCACCGATCTTTCGTCGCTCTTTTGCACTCTCCACCCGACTTTCTCGGCAAAAGACGACATCTTTTCCTTCTGCTCCTGGCTGAACTTTGTTCTGGATCTCTTTTTCTCACCTGGGTACTTCTCCGTTTTCATCACAGCCGTCGGACTGAGCTGGTGCTGGCGCTGGCGCTGGTGGGGGTGCTCATCGGGCGGACCAGAAAAGCCGGAGCTGAGAGCGAGTAGCATTTGCGGCGGGGAAGCGAAATAGGAGGGGGGCAAGTGGGAGACTGGCGGGGGAGACTGCGGGCTCAAAGTAGGGTTGGGGCTGGAGCTGGGGCTGGAGCTTGAGCTGTGGTTGTTGTGAGCTGTTTTCGGCGCATTATTTTTGGGTCTGTGCTGATCACGGCAGTGGAAGTTGCGGTGACAGCCACAAGCGGCGCATTTTAGCGAGGTGGGGTCAGCTGGGTTGGAGGAGGGGGAAGGCATGAACTCGCCGCAACCGTCGAGAGCGTGGCCACCTAAGCTGGCAGCATGGTTCTTGAGACATTCTTTGTAGGCAACCACCCTTGTTCGCGTCGGCCGAGGCTGGAATGCGCCGCTGGTGAAGGATAAGGACCTGCCACTGAAGAAGTTGAATTTGGGGTCCGACGGCGACGGCGGTTCCGTGTCCGTATCTGGGGTTTGGATGGTGGCGGTGACGGTGGTAAAGTCCATACCTTTAGGCGAGAATAAGCATAAGAAATTGACGGGCGGATTGGGAATTAATTAGGGTTTTGATTTTAGGGAGTGAAATCTCAAAGGTGAAAACTTCAATGGGGTTTTGGAGGACGATTGGGGAGATGAAGGAAGTAATGAGAAGTGAAGAGAAATATATAGATGGGGTGTTTGTGGGGAAAGATATTTGATGTAGATTTAATTCGATAATTAGTGGCATACCTAAACCTGTTTTAGCTCCATAAAAACACAGACCAATTTCTTAACCACCAAATTAACCTAGGGGAAAAACTTAAAAATGAAATATTCTGTGTCATTTCTTGAAGAAATTTTTCAATACGTTGAAAATAAAATTTAATCATCAAATATATAACACAAATAATTGAATACTTAAAAAAAAATTTCAATCAATTATATTACGATACATCATCTTTGACAGACACTGAAATTCAAATGTATAACACAAATGATTGACGATTTAAAAAAAAAAAATCAATCAATTATATTACGATACATCATCAACACTGAAATTTCTTAAGGGATGGGGTTTAATCTGGGTAACGTATGTCAGTCTGTGGATTCATGTGTTTGTTCAGAGCAATAAATTAGGCTCTCATATAATTCTTTCTATTTGATCTTTTTTAGTTTAGGCAAAATTGCATAAATGGTATTTTGACTTTTTCAGTTGTGTGCAATTGCCCACGGGAACTAATTTTCTTTGATAATTATCACCTAAAATTTTATGTTGTGTTGCAATTTGGCACCCAAACTTCACAACCGACCACCTTTAACAAGAGCATTTTTGTTTGTTAAGTCAACTAAAGGCATGCTTGGTATTTTTTTTTTTTTTTTGTATAATTATCTGTTTATATAAGAAATGAGTATTAAGTAATTTAATTATATTCATTGTTTTAAAAATTATATGTTCATTTTAAATTGTATCAAATAACTACTAAAACATTTGTGACTGTTCATTTATTAGTAGACAGTCTGATTATTGTCAAAATATGTGTTTTTGCAGCTTGTTTCTCTTAAGGAAACTCAACACACTCTCTCAATTTGATTCATCAAACTTGGATCAAGGCATGTCTTCTTATCCAGTTCTTAAAAAAAAAAAAAAAAAAAAAAAGGCATGTCTTCTTATCACGAGCCATTATTTAAAAAAAAATGTGGATGAATATAGTAGACATATGTGCTAAATATAATTTGAAATTTGAGTGATCAACTGTAAATTTCTTTAGTATAGGTGACAATTTCATAAAAATGAAAAAATTCATACACTATTGTGCAAAACTTCCTTTTGTTCTCATATATTCGTTGGAGTCAGTGATTTAAAATTTTGGAAACCTGCAAGCCAATACGAAACGTATACGTGTCATGCGTATTAGTTTTCACGCATAGGATTCGTAGTACAAAGAGTACATAATTTGAAGGACACAGTTGCCTTCTGGTGCGCATCGTTTTGCTTTGACAGTGGCAGTGGGATTCCCTCCATTATACATCCCTGCTCCTCTTTGTAACCTCATATCATTCATGCCTGCTCCTTTCTTTTTCAAAATCAAAATACAGTCACGTGTTGTTATTATTTTGTATGTAGTGAACAATGCGAGATATTCGTTTATTCATGATAGAGGATCCGCCCCTGCTGGGCAAGCAACCATAGGTCATAACGTACTTTTTGCACAACAAAGCCACGGTTTATAAACTTTAAGGAGAAATCATAAATCAGAAATGATATTTTTGTTATCATATTGCTTAGCTCTTTTCTTAATAAAGAAGATTTCTCCTATTTACAAATCACAGTTTAAAACATGAATGAATAACTTATCAATAACACAAAATTAAACATGTACATACACATGCCAATATGATTGGCCAGTAATTAAGCATAAATGTGGCAGCTTCCAAAGAAAGAATCGAAGTATTCTCCTTCTAATTATATTCAAAATAAAAATTTATCGTTCATTTATGTAATAACAATAATTATCGTAAAACACCTTGAATTGAATTGAAATTAAAGGCCAATTTGTCAACTTGACTTATAATTACTCCATCCATCAATCAAATATTAATGATGTGATGGCAAATTGACACCTTATGTTTAGGTTAACTTGATCTTGCAGAATCAAACTTGATTAGAAAGTTAAACAAGTCATTACCAGAAGAAAAAAAAAAGTGTTTTTATTTTTAATTAAAAATTCAAATGCATGTCGGTTACTAGTTCATATTTAATTTTAAATTTTAAAATAATTTCTGATCACACTATATACAATAAACGAATGAGATTACATAATTTTTAGAATCTTTAGGTAAAGATCAGGCGAGGATCCTTTCCCATTCTCAATTATCTTCTCAATGATCCACGTGTTGCAATGACCACACTGTAGCAAGAAATGCGGCCACACGCCATGTTTCAATCAATCAGTTACCTACTCTTTTGTAACATGTTTCATATGAAAGGATAACACTCGGCCATTTAAAAAATAAGTATGAGTTTTTATTTAAAATTCTTTATTGTTAATTTATATAACTTTGTTTTAAGAATCAGAACTGTTTATATTTTAAATCATTTTATAAATATCGCTTCTAAAAAAGTTAATTAAAACTAAGATTGTTTAGTCATCTAATTATATAAAAACAGATGAACGAAAAACATTACAAACCATTTATGTATTTGTCACAATAGATTGATTAAATGATCTTAGTTTTAATTTTTACAAAATGATTCATATTATGAGCTATTTTGATTATAAGCACAAAAACTCTGTGATTCGAACATGAAAATTTTTGAATACAAGTTCTTACTCATTCTTTGGTAACCGGGTATTATTCTCATATTAATCATGGTAACAGCATTTAGATTTGACATTATTCATCTCTAAACAAAAACAAAAAACATAAGGCACACAACGTTGGAATAATCCCAATCTCTCTGTCCATTGTTTGAGATGTGATATTTTGTGTTTTATGTTTCAAAACCTCAATTATGCTCTTGTTAGAATCCAATTAAACAGAAAATACGCTCACAATGGGGTCTCAAAATTCTTCCTAAATCCTATATAAAAGGATGCTATGGATGGTTGTGATTTCGATTATTTTGTAAACCACTCACATGTATTAACGGTTAAAACTAACGCATAGACATATGCTCGATCAGCTTTAAAAACACAAGTGATTAAGCAGTGTGATCACACTCAATGTCCGAAAAGAATAAAGATTAGTTGGAACCCAATAAGTAGTGATTAGGGATTTGTATGAGCAACTTGAAACCTAGCTAGCTACTTAGGTATAGGCCATAGAAAAAGGAGGGGTTTAGGATTGAGGGAGTCAAAAACCTCTTAATTGTTCAAACAATGTTATGGCAATTCTGTCATTCTCCAGCAGCACGCGCAATGAGAAAAATGATACAAGATGGCTCTCTCTATGGAAGTATTAGTTTTGAGTGCTTCCACGACCAAATTAGAGCATGCAGTGAAGATATTACATTCACAAAGTTTTTTCATTGCTTCGTTCCAATTTGTCCTTTGTTTCAATCTGGGTTTTGTTTCTTTGGCACGCAAGGCAAAGCAGAAGTATCTAATTGAGGAAACAAAGAAAAATAAACCCTTCAATTCCAAAATGTGTTACGTGAGAGTTTGAATAAACCCTTCAATCTCAAAATGTGTTAGGTGAGAGTTTGAACTCGGGTTAAGACTTCAGAGTTCCAAAGCTTTATGGCATCAATGTCACTGTTGGAGAATAATCCCAGAACAAAAACATTACAAAATAATATAAAACTTTATGTCTGAGTTTCACACCTAATATCACTATTGACATTTTTGTGATAATACCCAATAATTAATAATATGTGATTAAGTTGAGACAATATCAACAATGTTAATGATATCGCTACTCACTCGAGAGAGTAGAGAGTAGAGACATGTGAGACTCTAGCTGAATAATTAAAAGAACCTGATTCCATAAGGGTCCATTACAATTACAAGTGGCACGCGTGGGCCAAATTTCAGAATATGGACGATCAAATTTTTATCCTTTGCTGAGCATGCAGTAGAGAAAAGGGGATAATAATATTACAAGAGCATGCTTGAAATTATATTTATGGGTGGATCAGCATCCACCTAAAGGCATTTATGTTCTTTCATGCAAATATCACACAACAAGATAAACACCAATCCAGCTTCCACCCAAAACTGAAATATCTTCCACTTTCCGCAAAGCCTACTAAATCCCCCAAAGGATGGATAAGCATTATCTTATTACTATTTTTGCATATGTAATCACATCACTAATCCCCTTTTTTATTTTCTCTAATTGTTGATTTGTTATTCACAAGTTAAAGTGTCCCAAATCATGCAGCAGCAAATAATTTAGTTTTGCTTCCAAATGATAGAAACAAATAATGAATGATATTCGTTTTCAAGTAAAGGTTGTGTCTAAGTCGAAGTCTAACACAGCCATTTATAGCAATTTTGGATTAGTAGATAATCTTATTATCTTGATACCAAGAGCATTACTAGGACCAACAAGCAAGTACATCGTGTCCAAATTAAAAATGAGTTATCATGGCCAATAGCGTTGAAGTGAAGGACAACCTTATTAGAATCACGGCAAGTTGTAAGTTGTGAATCTGCTTAATTGTAGTCACGAGCAGGATGCAATTCCCAACTAGCCTCTTCCGGGCTAGGAAATGGTGAATAACCGTAGTTCGCCACCAGTTGTCTTCTTTTTCAAATAGCAAAAAAAGGACAGCTTAGTAGCCTTGAGATAAACCTATCTTTGTAATTAAGATTACTACTTAAACATCAAAGGTGATTTTGTTAACTAGACAGTATGTACCATCTCCAAAGAATATGAATAATGGTTTTGATTATGATATTTGTAAGTACGGTGAAGATATGTACGCATAAGTTGAAAGACAAGTAGGTTCCACATGAGAAGAACTCAAGCATTATCCAAAAAAAATTATCACTAGATTAGTAGTTACTTAATTGCAATGTTACATTGAAAACATAAAATAGAGAGAGTTCGACAGGTACCTAAAACAAGTGTAATTGTAAGATGAACTAGAAGCTGGCAGCTGTTGCAAGAAGAAAAGTATATATGTTCACAAGGCAAAGTCATTTTGCACAATCCAAGTTGCAGGTTTTACAAAGTTAACTGGGGTGTTGGTTTTGTCTTGTAAATTGAACATAACCATATCACACTCAACAAATCCTTGTAGTATATGGAATTTGGTGTACACCCA